GATCGAGCATCACATCTCTCTTCCCTACGCGCATCAACAGCAAGGCGTGGCTGAAAGCACTAATTGCACGCTCATGACAAAGGTGCGCGCGCTGATGAAGCAGTCGAAGCTTCCACCGATCTACTGGACCTACGCAATACACCACGCCGTGCGGGTGCACAACCTGCTCTCAACCACCGCCATCACCGGAAACTCCCCACATGTGAAGTGGACGGGGACCAAGGGCGACACCTCCATGCTCCGTATGTGGGGATGCATGGTGCAGTACCGCCCAACAACATCAACCATCGGCAAATTCAAGAGCCACGTGCGCTGGGGAATCCACCTCGGCATCAGCCACGAGTACAAGGCGTGGCTCATTCTGGACCTCACAAGCCAGAAGATCAAGAACGCGCGAGATGTCATCTTCTACGAGCGCCTCTTCCTGCAACATTTTCGGGAAGACGAGCAGACGAACGCGAATCGTGTTTACGCCAATGACGGGCACAGCTACGCCACGCTGGAGGACGAAGCTGCAGCAGCCATTCTGGAGCAAGACACCAGAGGCGGGTTCAAGAGAGGCGATCGCCGCGACGACGACGACGACGATGACGACGACGACTCCGAAGGAGGGGCTGGCGCAGCAGGAGGAGCATGCGCAACAGGAGGAAGCGGAAGCGGCGGACGTGCAGCACCACCAGCACCGCCTGAACCAAAGAGCGACGACGACGACGTGCAGAAAGTCATCCCGCAGCATCGTCACGACAGTACCATCACTGGAATGGAGCTTCTCGGGCTCCACACCGCTACCTCAACGGCGCCACGCATCATCGAGCCAAAGAACCCGCGCCAAGCTCTTACGGGATCCCACAGCAATGAGTGGCGTGAGGCGATGAATGCGGGAATCAAGGCACTTGAATCCCGCGACACCTGGGCGCTCGTGGATCGAGCGGCAATCAAGGGGAAGAAGGATCCTCTCTGGGAAATGGGTCTTCCGTGTGAAGACCGCAGCCGACGGCACGATCGAGCGGTTTAAGGCGCGATGGGTCGTACGTGGCTACGATCAGAGGCACGGCATCGACTTCGACCAAACGTTTGCACCGGTCAGCCGTTATACCTCCGTCAGAACCTTCCTCGCCATCGCTGCCATACGACATCTGCCACTCCGACAAATCGATATCAAGAACGCGTTCCTGTACGCGTTTAGATGCAGTGATCTACGTGGAGCAGTTGCACACATACGGCGAAGGGGATTCACGCGTCTGACAGCTGCGAAAGTCCCTTTACGAAATCAAACAGGCGCCGAGGCTCTGGCAGCGTATCCGCACAACATCCTGCTTGAAATTGGGTTCAAGCAGTTGCCTCACGATCCAGGGATGTATCGCCGTGATCTCCGCGGCGAATACATCCTACTCACGGTCTACGTCGACGACCTCCTTTAGACAGGGTCAAGCAACGAATCGCTTGAGAAGTTCGAGAAAAACTTCGCGAGGCGTGTCGACATTACCTGCAACCACGACGTGAAGCCAGAAGCCATTCATCACCTACTCGCCAGAAGCCATTCATCTCTCAGCAGCCAAGTACTCAGAGGAACTTGGCAAGCGCTTCAATATTGCACCTGCACCACTCTCCACCCCTTACCGCACTCCAGGACCCAACCACAATCCTGACAACAAAGCCCTGTCCCCTGCTGGGCTTCAGACTTACCAGCAGCAATTGGGATGCCTGCTCTTCGCCTTTGTCACCTGCAAGCTCGATCTCTCCTACACCGCGAGCCAGTTGGCTCAATACTCTCACAAACCAACGGCTGAAAATCTCTTAAATCTTCAGCGAGCATTCCAATTTTTCAACTCCATGCCCAATGTTGGGCTCTGCTACTCCACCATCCCAAGCGAATCCTTCAATCTCATCGGCTACGTGGATGCTGATCATGCCGCCGACCCCGACAATCGACGGTCCAGGACAGGCTTCCTCTTTCGCTTCGAGCTCAGCGGCCCCATCTCTTGGAATTCACAGAAGCAGGAGCTGGTTGCCCTGTCATAAGCAGAAGCCGAGTTCATCGCAGCAGCGGCAGCCGTTCGCGAAGGTCTCTACCTTCAGGAGCTGCTGCAGGAGGCGAAAATTCCAGACTCTCCGAACTTCCGCCTGCACTGCGATAACCAGAGCGCGATCAGAATCGCGAACAAGCCCGGATTCGTCAACCGCACCAAGCACATCGCACTGCGATACTTTTTCGTCAAGGACGAAGTTGACAAGGGCAAGGTTGACCTAACCTACTGGCCGACAGGTGACATGGCAGTTGATTTTCTCACGAAGAAATTGCCACGTCAGCAGTACCAGCATTGCTCCGAACGCAGCGGAGCAGTCAAGCGGGTCAGGACCTGCTACGGCCAGGAGTGAAGGGGGGTGTTACGAATAGTGGAAAATGAATGAATTACTCTGCACTCCTTACCGTAGCAATCGAAGCACGCACTACCGAGGCTGAAGACAAAAAGGCGGAAGTGACGCGAAGGGTCGTACGGTTACGGAAGGATCTGGACCGTCGGGCAGACAGCATTAGGCAGCAGCAGTGGCGAGGATTCTGCCCGAACGGTTTCGTAACCACCTAGAGTCGCACGGTTGGATTTCGCTGTAATAAGGGAATGTACCCCTTAGAGTACATGGCTAGCTAGGACAATTGGTATTCCCCTGTATTCTTATTTATATTCCTTGTACTTTCATGTTTTAATCTTCTCAAGCATTTTACATACACTCGGCTATTGAGGTCAAGGGCCCACCACCACTACTCAAGTCGTGTGCAAACCTTCCTAAGGTGATCCTAGGGACGATCATTTTCTGATTGCAGCAACACTATCCTAAAATCAGGGTAATCAGGTCAAATTATCCTGATAAAATAAGGCCTCTTTTGGCAGTTGTGGCGCGCGAAGGCGGCGAAACACCGTTATCAGTAATGCACGAAGAAACGGTCGGCCATGTTCGAGATGTTGAGATGCGCGGTAAGGAATGTCGAAAAAAACCTTATAGCGAGATTGAACAGAGCCCGCATTGGATTGTGAGCTATGACTCGTTACTCTGCATTCAACAAATTTTGATAAAACCGCACTTTTAGGAAATACACCCGAGTTTTCATGCTCTTATAATATAATACTGGATATAGGCGCATTGGTCTGATTATAAGCGCATTCGCTCATAGAAGGGTTCGCTTATATCCGGGACTCAAGGAAATTTCGACGTGGCAAAATTACTGGCTTACCATAGTCGTGAGAGTGCTACAGTAATGATGGGATGCCTTCTCTCGAAGGCAAGAGGGTGAAAGGTGTGTACGAATGCGCTGGCGATGACAGCAAATTTCGATCAGGCGCACTTTATGTCGGGTTCGGATCAGGCGGAGATATCCTATTGACATGCCAAGCAGCCCAACGGGGGTAGGCTGTCTCAAAAGCGAAAGCGAAGTTGTAACCAACACACTCGCCACCGGCCCAGCTGACAACCCACGCGGGCCTCCTGGGGGGGGCTGGCGGAGACTAGCATCCCATGTTGAGATTTCGCCGGCTATCGCAGCCAACGAAAAGACTCAGTTGGCGATTCACGAGCAAGCAAGGAGCCTGCGCTTGCGGCATCAAGACACGCCGCCGAGCCTTGGAGCCACGTCAGGCCAAACGTGGTGCTCACCCTCATTCGCTTTGGCGGAAGGTGTTTGCCCGGGTTTGTGGGAAACCTCGAACGCGTCTGTGCAGTTTATGCACAAATACCGCGCGCCCCTCTCACTTAGGGAAAAGATCATACAGGGGCCGAACAGTGCCAGGGAGGTGATCAAACAAGGGCCGGGAGGCCCGGAACTAACCAAACCACTGCGCAAAAGGTATTTGCAGTGGGTCATCATTTATTGAACGTATGTTCGTTAACCATTTGCATTTTCGCTCGCGAGTCATTTTTCATGGAAATATTTACTGATTCATCACCTTCCACCTCATTGCGTCGTTTAGCAAGCCAGAAACTCTTAGGGCAGCCAGAAAGAAAACTAAAACCCCGAGGGGAACCTAGATGCATTTTCGGGATGGATCAACCCTAAAGACGGGAACCTTCGGTGTGTTTAAGGTTGATGCCTCCCTAGTCGCATCCATTTCCGAGTGGGTAATATATATTTTTTTTTCTGCGCGTTTCCGATCAGGGAGTGATATTTATCACCCATAATGATTTGTTTTTGGACTCACAAACTAACACAGCAATATTTACTTCCAGAAGAACGCGATGTATGCGTAGTAGTAGACGGCGGTCGTAACCATTTGTTCAATAAGCTGGACACGAAATTTGGTGCTTGCGTTTCTCTTTCAGTCACGGTTCGGCTTGTTCGCCTAGCCTCTTGGGCAGCTCGGGGTCGAAATCCTATGGTCGAGATTTTCTAACCCTACTTTGGTCATCCCTCTGGCACTCTTCGGCCCCAGTTTGATCATTTCCCTCTCACTTATCCTGCCAAGAAGCCCACAACACACTTCCAACACACCCAACTCTCCAACACACCGTTTTTCTCCCGACGAACCCATCTGTTCAGGAAGAACCAGTTCCTCAGCTCCCAACGATGGCGCCCACAGAAGTGGATCAGTCTCCATTCGAGCGCATGTTCGACCTCGAAACCATCCCAGAATCTCCCGAATCCGGCGACATGTTTGACTGCTTTCTCAACCTCCCAGCCGCAGCCTTTCCCTGGACCGCTCGCGACAGTAAACCTGGAAGGAGCCGTGACAAGAAGAGAGATGAGGCGACGGCGAGCAATGCGGCGGCGCAGCGCGCGGCGCGGAAGCAGCTGCTCGCGGCGCTTATGGGAGCTCTCGCGGACTCAGCGGACGACACCATCACCGCCGCCGCCAACGAGCCAGCCGCCGCCAACGAGCCCGCCGCCACCGACGACGAGCCTTCATCACCGGAATCGCTTGATGAGAGGGATTTCCTCTCATTCGTGGCGCTAGCAGCAGGATCGCGGAAGCGCAAGGCGACGGAGATCGAGAAGGTTCTTTCCGCGGATGCGCCTGTCGATGGCGGAAGCGAGGGGGAGTCGGACGCGCCAGCTGCGCCGAGCGATTGCTGATGTCATCCTCCGCGGAAGCGGGGCCGGCGGACTGTGCCCCGCACCCGGCGCTGCTTCTCCCGACGCTCCCGCATCTCCCAGCGAGGCTGCGCCGCTGCCAGTAGTTACCACTCAAGCCTCCAATCCCGTCGGCAGGACGCTCGCCCGTGGCCCGCTGCCAATGCCCTTTCGCCTGCTCATCGCCAAAGTTGCTGCTCCCGCTGCGCCTGCTTCACTAGCCACCGTGCCAGAAGCAGCAGCTTGCATGAACTACTTTGACAACTCAGGTGATGACATGGCGGGTTTTCGCGAAATCCCCGCTTGCGGAGGCGCGAATGGGGAGGCAGATCATGACGCGGACGACTGGATGCCGCGCAATCGCGGGCGCAAGGACCGGCATGCGGCGGGCGAGCGCATCAAGGCGCGGAGCATGGCGGGGAGGCAGAGGCGGGAGAGGATCAGTGAGGGGCTGCAGAAGCTGCGGTTGGTGGTGCGCGGCCATGGGGACACTGCTACCATGCTCGATAAAGCTGTTGCATGTGTCGACGCGTTGCAGCGCAGAGTGACCGCACTGGAAACCGCCCTGCTGCTGCACCAGGCGTGGTGCAAACACCCAGAGTGGCAGAATGGTTGCTCCCTAGACTCCCCTGGAGGATCTTCTGAGCCTTTGTAAGGTATTTTCCATGCTAATAGCATTAGCTTACCTGACTAATGAGGCTGGATATGTGTCATGTGTCAAAGCAATTCCACTGAGATTGTACATATTCATTCATATGTGTCTTCATTTCCGTAAAATGAGCCCATCATACTTGTACTAGGCTGGAGCCCTGGTTATTGAAGTGCTTGGTCACAAGTATCTAGTTTGAAACGAGTTTGCTACTAGTCCATTATTCATTCTTTGAAGTTCAATAACTTCTCCGACAGATCGAGAGTTACAAACGCGGATTGGTCCAGATAATGGATGGAACAGTAGTATTGTGTCGAACTTTGTTCAGCCTGGTGAGCAGCGGTTCATAGCGGTGAAGGAAACTAGCCGCTCTAGAACGTACAACATCGTACTCAACCGCGTTCACTGAACAGATTGTGAACCAGCCGGGATCCGCCATGACATGTCCACACAAAACTAGAAATTTCCGCGGGCTACTGTATTGTTATCGAGTAGTGCCACTCGTTACCAGCAGCTCGTTAGTGCCTCAGTGGCCAGTGTGGTGTAGACTCTGGTCAGCTTCCTACTATTTCGCGATGGTGACTGATGTATAGCTGCTTCTCGACCGATATATATATTCTCGTTGTCTCTGTTCAGTTTCACCGCTCGCAATCGTCTTTCGTCATCCGCATTCCGCGTCGTTCGATCTTTGCCGCCTTGCCTAGCGACGAAATGAGGCCCGCTCGCCTGCCCGCGCTCCTCGCGGCGCTCCCGCTGCTGCTTGTGCTTTTCGCGAGCCTGTTGGTTACCCCGCTGCGCGCCGAAGACTGCGACGCAATCCTTGATAAGGGGAGGGCGCGGCGCGGCGAGCGGGGGTCAATGCTGCACGTCGATTGGACAAGCAGCAGCTCCTGCGGCTGCGCGCATATCGACGAGCAGCGGCTCGTGCGGCGGCGCGCCAAAGACTGAGACGACATTATCGATCGGGTGAGGGGCGAGAGTGACGAGGAGCGCGTGGGGGGGGTGGGAGGGCTGAGGGGGGTGAGTGCTGCGCGCCGATGAGGACCACGCGGGGCAGCGCCGCGCGGGGGAATGCTGCGCGCCGATGACGCGCGGAAGATTTTTGTACTCATTCATACGCATACCTTTCCCCATCCCTTCGCCCGTGCTTCCCTCGCGTCATTCAAGTCCCCTCCCCCTCGCGTCAGCTCTGACCACGCACCTTTTGAGACGTCTCAAGAGTTATTCCCGCCTCACCTCTCACTGCGCGCCAACGGGGCCCAGTGAAAGACTTTCGAGAATGTTCAAGAATCTTCGGACGCGTCTGACCCAGTGAGAATTTTTCGGGAATTCTCATCAAAGTTTTTAAATGTCTCATTCGTTATTCCCCACCTCACCTGTCGCACGCCAACGAGGCCTCTGGCCCAGCCCCAGGGGAGAGGAGCGCGTGGGAATAACAATTTCCGTTTATGCTGCTACAATTTAGAATCACATTTCTTTGTTCAAGTTGCTGCATGCATACTCCAAGCCTCTTAACATATCCATCTCTCCTTCCCCGCCCTCTCCTCTCTCACCGCGTGTTGATAACTGCGCGTGTGTGACTGAATGCCGATGGCTGAATGCCTATGACTGAATGCCTATGACTGCGCGCCGATGACCGCGTGGGGGAGTGTGAGGAGAAGGTGGGCAGTCACAAACATCGCTCCCTCTCCACATGCATGAGTGCCTCTCTCTCTCCCGTTCTTTCACGGTTGGAGGAGCGCAAGGAGAATGTGGGGAAGCTGAGGAAGCTGCGGTTTGAGGCGGAGAACAAGTATGACGCGACGCATGCGATGGGGGAGAAGATGAAGGAGAAGATGGCGGAGTGTGAGGAGACCACCGCCAAGAACGCTGCTGAGCGGGAGAAGGAGAAGAGCCAACTCAGTAAGTTGGCGGATTCCAATTTTAAACAAAGTAGATGTGTCCTGAAGATGAGAGAAGGGGAGTTGGCTTGGCAAAGTGGGTTGGAGGAGATGACCTGGGGGGAGCTTGATGGGGTGCAGAGAGAAAGATGGTGTGAGGGATGTAGGGGTGCACGTGATCTGGCTTGATCTGGGTTGTACGTGGGGATAAGATTGGTTGCTGGGCTTCACGCAACTCTTGCGCTGCACTGTGCTCCATGCCTCTTCTGATTTACAGCCATGCACAGTCTTCTGATATTGCCCTCAAAGTGCACAGCTCTTCTGGTCTTGTTCATCGCTTCTCAACGGCAGCAGTGCCTCACCGGGATGGGAGTGTTAAGTCGTGCTTCGGACAAGCCAATATACGTTCACAGTTTTCATGTCTCGTCTCTTTGCCTCTCTTAACACTCTGCAGGCCACATCAGCTGAGAGGCTTGAACAAAAAGGATGATGTCGTGTTGTAGACACCTCAAGCCATGCTCACAATGCCTCCTCCTGTCTCCTCTGTGTGTGTCTCTCTCGCCACTCTCCCCTTTCAATGCAGTGGCACAGGTGCATGAACTGGAGAACAAGGTGAAGGATCTGCAATCTGTGTTATTGACACTTCAGGGAATGCTTTCAACGCCTCATCCTGCCTCCTATGTCTCTCTCTCTCTCTCCACTCTCCCCTCTGCTTTCTCCCTTTTCAATGCAGTGGCACAGGTACATGAGCTGGAGAACAAGGTGAAGGAGCTGCAAGCGAAGCTGGGCATCAGTGAGGAGAGCATCACTCGTGATGACACCAGCAGTGACGGCAACACCAGTGACAACTAAACCTCCTTGTAATGGCTGGTTGGCTCATGCCTGCAAGCGAAGCTGGGCATCAGTGGGCACAGCAGCACAGCAGCGGTGGCAAGCTTAGAGCGTATTCCTATCCTTGTATCAAGAAAACCTCATATCAAGATTGTACTTTTTGCCTGGTAAAAGTAGCGAGAGGTTTTGGGTTTAGGGGAATTTTCAGTGGGAGGTTGATATGAGGTTTTCTTGATACGAGGATAGGAATACGCTCTTAGTGACAAGTAGACAATGTAATAGTTGGTTCATGTCATGCCTGAATCGTTGCAAAAGCAGTGTGTGGTCCCAACAAATGGCACTTCGTGGTTGTGAGTCGACAATCTCAGGAAAACACTGTTTTGGGGCACCTGCTGAAAAGCCTCACGCTTTCTCCGTCCCTCTCAACGGCTTTCTCCTGCGATGATTGCTTAGGGTCCTCCTGACTAATCTCCTTCAACCCCTGTCCTTTGTGATCGCAGAGATGGGCTAATGAGGCAGAGCGAGTTGCCGTGATTGGAGAGAAGCACGCACGAGGAGACAAAGCTCGCAGTGTTCGTCGAAAGAGGCTAGGAATAAGGACACCCACAAGACGATTGCCAGGGCGACCAGGTTTTCCCAACAATAATTATGCTCACTTAGGCAGCAGGAGACCAGATCATATGGCAGGTAGCAACACGATGTGGGCTCCGCCAGGGATGGCTACATCTGGAGCAGGTGTTCTTGGCAGATACCCTGCATCGTGTGATACTGGTGGTGGAGTTTATTCTGGTCACTCTGGAAGAAAGGCAGAGGGAGAAGCAGCAGTAACAGCAATGCAGAGATTGGTGGTACGTGCAGATGGAGAGAAAAGGGAGGTGCGTGCGGCCGCTGAGTCTGGTGTGACAAGGACAGGAAGTGGAAAGAGCAACTATTATGTGAATAGCGGAAAGTCTGATCAGGGGAAGAGAAGCGAGGCGGTCAGGGAGGCACAGGTTCCATTGAGTGCTTTGTCAGTCAATGCAGGCACGGTCAGGTGCCAGCCGAGAAGCAAGGAAATGGACAGAAAGGGCCTGGGCCTTGGTGGGCAAGTGCAGGGTGCTGCAGGTGGTCGAGAGTCAGCCGGGGACAAAGAGTATCGGTGCTCCAAGCATGTGACCTGCACGTCTTCGGATCACCACCACCATCACCACCAGCAGCAGACTCACTCTCAGCAGGGTTACAGCATGCAGCCTCGACATGGTGACGTTGCGAAGGGGAAGTACGGGGCTGCAAGCCCATGGGCAAGCAGGAACGTTGAGATGAAGAGGATGTATCAGCAGGGAAGAAGCATGTGGGGTGAGAGCAGAGCCCCTGTTCTTCGGGAGCAGGATCGCTGGCAGCTGCATCACCAGCAGCTGCAGAATCTACCTCAGCAGAAACATCAGCAGCAGCAACAGCATTACGTGCACCACGAGCAAAATCAGATTCAGCTGCAAACTTCGTACCAACAGCAACAATCGTTTCAGCAGCCACAGTCATACCAGCAGCAACAGCATTTTCAGCAATGTCAGCAACCACAGCAGTACCCACAGTACCACCAGCCGCAGCAGCATCAGCATCACCATCATTATCAGCAACAGCAGCAGAATTGGTCATCAAGAACAGGTATGGCATCTAGCAGGCATCTGCTGCATACAGCCACTTCACAAGCCACTGTAGCTGTACCCATACCACATGCTCCTGTTGTCATGCCGCCAGCTACTGCAGCCATGCTTGTTGCAAACTACCAGCATCAGCTGCAATGGGTGCCAAGCCAGGTGATGCTGCTGCAGAGGAACCAGCGGGAATGGCTTCAGCAGCACATTCAACAGCAGCAGCAGCAGCAGGGAATGAGCTACATGCGTTAGGGAGTGATAGATCAGTTAAATGCTAGCCTTGCACATGCTGGCAGGGAACTATGCAAGCCTTTGATGATGCTGGTAGCCTATAGCTAGCTTGAGACTTTGTTTGGGATTTGTTCTCATCTCTGTCTCTTCCATTTCTTGTGCAACAGTAAACTTTCCTGACCCCTTATGTAAGTATTTGTCTCATCCTGCATATATTCCAGTTACAGCGATATATTTCCCGAACCAGCTGGGCTGTATTGTTACAAAACGATTTGCTGGAGGAAACTGCAAGTTGATGCAAGGAGGCGATTTTTTTGTGAGACTGAGAGTAAATGTAGTATAACTTAAGAGTAATCTCTATCATTGGGTGCACATGTAATTCCACATCTGTGCCTTACCAAGGCTTGAACCGAATCAGCAAAGAATCTTTGCTCTCATTACAAAACACTGGCATACAATTACATCTACTCAAGACTTCGGTTCAACATAAACAATATTATCATATACACCCAGTTGTAGCTTTCTCCACTTCTGTATTCGGTTACTGTAGAAGACATGTTATGCAGGAAGCGGTTCTTCACGAACTGCAAGAGAAAGGTCAGATTGACAACGATAGAGGAGGGGCGAAGCGAACAGGGCAGCTTTGAGAATTGACATCACATCACATCCACACACACCCTCACATGTTAGGCACCCAATTATTCACATGCATACATGCACCCATCCATTTACATGCGCATGCCCATTCGCATATGCACACCCATACGTTCAGTCACATGCGCATATACACACATACGTGCAAGCAAGCACAGTCAACAATACACGAGTGCAACACTTGTTCCGAGCCTGCATATCCCCACAAATGCTGGCATGTGTGCCTAAGCACTGTGCACTGATTTCAACCAACCCATCCTCCTCACCCACATGATCAGTCCCACCCTCCCAGCAGGCTTCAGCTTAGCATAGCCAGATCGTGGTCACTGCCTCAATACAGAGGCTACCCCAGATTGATTGAGAAGTAGTAGCGTTTTCATCACACGCCTGCTCGAACAGAGAAACCCACAACAGAGGTTCTTATGCAAAGTGCATTCGAAGTCCATTTGAACTCCCACCATCTGAGAAGGCTTCAGCTTAGCATAGCCAGATCGTGGTCACTGCCTCAATACAAAGGCTACCCCAAGTTGATTGAGAAGTAAAAGGTATTTTCATCACAAGCCTGCCCAACCCAAACAAGCCTGCCTGAACAGAAAAACCCACAATAGAGGTTCTTATGCAAAGTCCATTCAGAGTCCAATTGAAGCCCCACCCTCCCAGCAGGCTTCAGCTTAGCATAGCCAGATTGTGGTCACTGCCCCAACACAGAGACTACGCAAAGTAAATGAGAAGAGAGCTTTTTCATCACAAGCCTCCTAACCCACAAGTAAAGTGCAGTCAGAGTCCCTTCAGAGTCCCACCCTCCCAGCAGGCTTCAGCTTAGCATAGCCAGATCGTGGTCACTGCCCCAACACAGAGGCTACTCCAGATTGATTGAGAAGTAAAAGCTTTGTCATCACAAGCTTGCTCGAACAAGCGTGCTTGAACAAATCCACAACAGAGGTTCTAATCTAATGCAAAATGCAATCAGAGTTCATCCAAAGACATACCCTCCCAGCAGGCTTCAGCTTAGCATAGCCAGATGGTGGTCACTGCCCCAACACAGAGGTCACTTAAAGTAAATGAGAAGAAAGAGCCTTTTCATCACAAGCCTGCCCGAAAAAGAAACCCAGAACCAGCCTTTTTCGTCTCACCCCTTTTCATCCCCTTTCCCTTCTCCTACCCTACTCACCCCCTTCCTCATACCCCACCCCAACCACCGCTTGGACTGGCAGCAAGCCCCTTGGGGCTCCCCCCGATGACAACGCTTGGCAGCAATGACACCTGGGGGCTCCCCCCCTTCCCACTCTCTCTTCCACACACAAGCATACAGACACAGAGAGACACTCAAACCTTCTACCTAGCACACCCACCTTGTTCTCACGCCCGCTCCATCCTCAACAGCAGCCGTGGCACCCTCACCCTCCTCCCCCTCCCTCTCTTCCTCCTCTGCCTCCCCTGCAGCTGGTGCTTTAACTGGCGGCTCCTTGGACACGTCTGGCAGCACGGGCACTTGGTCCAATTCAAGGCCCTCCCCCCATCCCAAACGTCCTCACTTCCTTCCTTCACCCGCCCTCCAGACATGCACACATATGCATGTTAGCAGGAACACTCACCTCGTTCTCTGCTCGTTCTATCATCAGCAGAGGCAGCAGCATCTTCACCCTTCCCCCTCCCTTTCCTCCCCTCCGCCTCCCCTGCAGCTGGTGCTTCAACTGGCGGCTACTTTGGTACATGAAGCAGCACAAGCGCACTTGCACTCACATCGTTCTCTGCTTGGTGACTTTTGAGTCGACTCAAAAGTCAGCACCAGAACTCTGGCACTCACCTCGTTCTCTGCTTGCTCCATCCTCAGCATCAGCAACAGCAGCAGCAGCTGTGGCATCCTCCCCCTCCCCTTCTTCCCCTTCCACTTCCTCTTTAGCCGGGGCTTTAACTGGCGGCTCCTTTGGCACATCGGGCAGCATGGGCACTTCAGGCACGGCAGGCAGCTCCTCCTCTACCTCCTTCATTGCGAGCTGGATGGAAGAAAGAGGGGCGTAGGAATAGCAAGAGGGGCAATGGGAACACATCAGAACTTGAACACACATGGGGCAGCACGGGCACTTTAGGCACGACAGGGAGTTCCTCCTGTACCTCTTTCATAGCGAGCTGGGTGGAGGCAACGGGATTATGGAAGAGTAAGAGAGTGAAGAACGAGGATCGATTCAGGACACTGACACATTGGGCAGCACGGGCACTTCAGGCACAGCAGCAGGCAGCTCCTCCTCTATCTCCTTCATTGCGAGCTGGGTGGAAGCAACGGGGGACGTAGGAATTGCAAGGGGAGGGGCAACGAGCAACGCATCAGAACTTGAACACACATCGCGCAGCGCAGCACAGCACGGGCACTTCAGGCACAGCAGCAGGCAGCTCCTCCTGTACCTGCTTGATTGCGAGCCGGGTGGAAGAAAGGAATGGAGGAAGAGGAAGAGGAGGGGCAACAGGGAACGATTCAGGACACTGACACAACGGGCAGCAGTACAGGCACTGGGGCCCAGCAGGCAGCTCCTCCTGTACCTCCTTTCTTCAAGCAAGCTGGGTGAGAGATGGGAGACAAGGAAGAGTAAGCACAAGACTGATTAGGCTGTTGAGTTGCTCAATCCCGTCAGCCTAATTAACCATACCATAAGCCGAATGAACCATACCATACGCCTTATCAACCGTACCAAAGTCTAATCTAATCAACCATACCAGAAGCCTAATCAACCATACTAAAAACCTAATCCACCCCACCCTAGCCTAATCAAAGCCCCACTTCACCTCTCTCTCCCCCTAAAACGCTGTCTCCCTCTTGCGCCGCTCCCTCCACACCCCTCTCACCCTCTCCTCTCCCCCCCCCTTCTCCTTCTTCCCCCCCCCCTCCCACTCTCCCACCCTCCCCTCTGTCTCCATTGCCTCCAGTCCACCTCAGCAAGAGCTACCTGTGCATTGCGCCCCTCTCCCCCCTCAACCCTCCTCCCCCTCCCTCACCTCTGTCTCCCCCTCACCTCTGTCTCCCCCTCACCTCTGTCTCCCCCTAACCTCTGTCCCCCCCTCACCTCTGTCTCCCCCTCGCCTCTGTCTCCCCCTCACCTCTGTCTCCCCCTCACCTCTGTCTCCCCCTCGCCTCTGTCTCCCCCTCGCCTCTGTCTCCCCTCACCTCTGTCTCCCCTCGCCTCTGTCTCCCCCTCGCCTCTGTCTCCCCCTCGCCTCTGTCTCCCCCTCACCTCTGTCTCCCCCTCACCTCTGTCTCCCCCTCACCTCTGTCTCCCCCTCACCTCTGTCTCCCCCTCACCTCTGTCCCCCCCTCGCCTCTGTCTCCCCCTCACCTCTGTCTCCCCCTCACCTCTGTCTCCCCCTCACCTCTGTCTCCCCCTCACCTCTGTCCCCCCCTCGCCTCTGTCTCCCCCTCACCTCTGTCTCCCCCTCACCTCTGTCTCCCCCTCGCCTCTGTCTCCCCCTCGCCTCTGTCTCCCCTCACCTCTGTCTCCCCCTCGCCTCTGTCTCCCCCTCACCTCTGTCTCCCCCTCACCTCTGTCTCCCCCTCACCTCTGTCTCCCCCTCACCTCTGTCCCCCCCTCGCCTCTGTCCCCCCCTCGCCTCTGTCTCCCCCTCACCTCTGTCTCCCCCTCACCTCTGTCTCCCCCTCACCTCTGTCTCCCCCTCACCTCTGTCCCCCCCTCGCCTCTGTCTCCCCCCCTCACCTCTGTCTCCCCCTCACCTCTGTCTCCCCCTCACCTCTGTCTCCCCCTCACCTCTGTCTCCCCCTCGCCTCTGTCTCCCCCTCGCCTCTGTCTCCCCCTCGCCTCTGTCTCCCCCTCACCTCTGTCTCCCCCTCACCTCTGTCTCCCCCTCACCTCTGTCTCCCCCTCACCTCTGTCTCCCCCTCACCTCTGTCTCCAGTGCCTCCAGCTCAGCAAGAGCCTCCAGCTCAGCCTCCTCTGACAGCGCACCCGCCAGCATGGCAGCCACCTCCTGATTGGTCGAGGCAGGGAGGGAGGACACGGTGGAGAGGGGGTGTGGGAGAAGTAGAGTACGGTGGTGGGGGAGAGCAGAGCACGGGGAACAAGGGAGAGGGAGAAGAAGGGGAGGAGGAAGAGGAAAGGGAGGAGGAAGAGAAAGAGCAAATGGAAGAGGAAAAGGAAGAGAAAGTGAGGGAAAACGAGTGAAACTGGTAGGACCATTGCTACATTTGGTTCAGCAAACCATCTTTCCTTCTCGCTCATCCGATCCAACGATGCATGTGCCATGCCATGCACATCCGACCATGCATGTGCCATTCACATCCGACCATGCATGTGGCATTCACATCCGACCATGCATGTGCCATGCACATCCGACCATGCATGTGCCATCCTGTGTTGTGTTGCTCCGTGCCCTGATACGTGCCTAAATGATTGCTCAACGTGCCTCAGTGACCTACTCCACCTGCTCGGCTTTGCTTTCCCCCAGTCCGCGCCCAACTGACGGCAGCAACGCCAGCACTAGGAGGCGCGGTTCAGGTCAGTGCACCCCTTTTGCACCAATCTCCATTCCCTCGACCAACGCGCTTGGTGCGACCGCTACTTTTTCCAAGGATGCGACGCCAGTGCAGGGTCAACAGGATGGAGCGACGACAGAGGCGGCACGGGATGCACGCAAGCAGGCGGGGATGACGAAGGCAAGCACAATGCCATGTGTTGTGTCGCCGCCGCTGCCAGGCGAAGCCATGTGCAAGAATCGGGCGCTCAAGATGAAACTCGGAAGGATGCTCTCTCAGCACGCGCAAGCACAAGCAGCGGTCGCCGCCGCTGGTGGCCTGCTCCGCGTGCTGAGAGAGCATCCTCCCGGGTTTCATCCTGAGCACCCGATGCACGCACATGGCTTCGCCTGGCAGCGGCGGCGAAACAACACACGGCATTGTGCTTGCCTCCGCCATCCTCGCCTGCGTGCTTGCATCTTGGGCCGCCTTTGCCGTCGCTCCATCCTGTTAACCCTGCACTGACGTCGCATCCTTGGAAAGAGTAGTGTCGCATCAGGCCTGTTGATCGAGGGAATGGAAATCAGTGCAATAGGGGTGCGCTAGGCTGAACCGCGCCTCAAAGTGCTGGCGTTGTTGCCGTCAGCTGGGCGTGAACTGGAGGAAAGCATCGCACGTGACGCCTCAGGCATGCCTATACCATTTGAGGCGCCTCAAAAATTTCTCAACGTGCCTCAGTAACCTACTCAACCTGCTTTGCTCTGCTTTATTTGTTCTACAACGCACTCTCGTCTTGGAAAGCCTTGGCGTCTTCCAATTCGCGAAGCAGCTTCGCCACGTCCTTTGGACTCATCTCCTTCTGCAACACCCCTGAATTGTTCTAACCCAAGACTCCCTCTTCCCCCGTGCCTCAAGTCGCGATCTGACTCAACTCAACCTGCTCTGCCCTGCAATGCACTCACGTCTTGGAACGCCTCGGCGTTCTCTGACTCCCTCAGCAGCTTCTCCACGTCCTCCACACTCATCTCCTTCTGTAGCAGCTCGAATAATCCGTGACACCTTCACCTCCCTCCCCAAACCCGTGCTTCAAATAGGCGCCTAACACCACCTGCCCTATGAACTCACGTCTTGGAACGCCTTGGCGTCTTCCGACTCCCCCAATAGCTTCTCCACGTCCTCCAGGCTGATCTCCTTCTGCAGCTCCTGGATCGCCATGTGCCCCGCCTTCAGGCTCTCAAACACTTGAGCCTGCCGGCTCGTAATCTCGATGTCTGCGAGCTGTGAAAGAGAGAGGGGGAAAGCGAGGGAGAGAGAGGAAGGGAGGGGGAAGAGAGGAGTGAATAATACGAACTCATCTCCTTCTGCAGCTCCTGAATCGATATGTAACCCGCCTTCAGGCTCTCAAACACTTGAGCCTGCCGACTTGTGATCTCGATGCCTGCGAGCTGTGAAAGACAGGGAGAGAACCGGAGAGAGTAATGGAGAGAGTAAGGGAGACAGAGAGTAAGGGAGAGAAGAGAGGAAGATAAACAAATGGTTGGAAGAGAGCCTCAGTGCCCGAACCGAGCGCCTGTGCCTGGCCACTGGTGATATATCCGCCAGTGGTGAAAGAAGGGGAGACGAAGGGAGGGGTGACCTCTCTCGCTCTATGGATCCCCAGCCCCAGGCGCACCACCCCATACCCCCAACCCCTCCAACCCGCACCACCCCACCCCCCAACCCCCCCACTCCGCGCCCCTTCCACCCCTCCACCTGCCCCCTCCCCTCACCCTTCCCCCTCCCCCTCCCCCCGTTCCCCCACCCCGTGTCCAGTTAGATAGGTGCTCATCTGCTGCTCCACTCGCAGCGCCCACAGCTTCTGATTCCGCCAGCGCGTCCCCCTAGACCTGCTTCCTCTTCAGCGTCAATCATCGCTTTTTGCACCTCCTTCTTTCCCTCTTCGGATCACTCTTACCTACCCGCCAATCAAGCCTCCCTCGCTCCATAAGACACTTTTCCGCTCAAAAAGCGCTCACCTGCTGCTCCCACTCGCAGCACCCACGCGTCCGACTTCGCCGCCAGCAGCGCGCGTACAACCTCCTCCCCCCCCCCCCCCCCGACCCCCCCCTTCCCTCCCCCCCCCCCCCCCCCCATCCTCCCCTCTTCTACATACCTTAAAGTCAACTCATCCCTCACCTGCTGTTCGACCCGCAGCACCCACGCGTCTGATTTCGCGAGCGCGTCCGTCTGAAGCTTCTTCTTCTTGAGCGCCAGCAGCGCGCGGTCCTTCTTGCCCTCCTTGATCATCTGCCGCACCACCTCCTGCTCCCGCTCGATAACTGCACCGACCTTCAAACGGGGATAGAAAATATTGCGTCCGTCTGGAGTGGACGTGAAGTTTGAACGACACGAATGTAACAGGAGTGTTATACTGGTTACATATCTTAAAAACAAGAGAAGGTTTGTACGTAAAGATCTACCCTGCCGTTTCTTGATACTAGCTGAGCTGGCTATTCTAAAGCCTCAACTATCAACGGATATTAGCAAAGGGCTGCATCATTCCTTTTTTCTGTGACCAGATGGTTTCCCCGTATATCCAAATATCAAAGGATAAAAGCAAGCGGATCGATCGTTTCAGATACCAGATGATTTTTCTGAGTGTTCAAATACCATAGGATCACGGCACGCGGATCGCTCCTACCTTCTTCTGATACTCCGCTAGCTTCCGCTTCTGCGTTCGCAGCGACAGTATCGCCTTATCGACATCGGTAACGGCTTTGCGCTTCGAGAACAGTGCTCCCATCTCTGGAAAACGGTGACCGCCACCAGCCGCAGTGCGGAACGCCGATTTACAAAACACGTCACGAATACGTCAATAATATGTGCGGTCGTTGTGAGAGCAGTGCGAGAAAGATCTACGCAAACTGGCGAAGTGGAAATTTGTTGGTGTGGTCAGTGCGATAATGAATCCGAGATAAGAAAATCGCCTGGTACGGAAAGCTAGCTAGAACATAGGCTCACAGCGTGAGAGCAGCATCTAAAGCTCCAGCTAGTCCCTTTTCGCCTTGCGCTCGTTCATATTTCGCTGAAAAGAGCTTCCAGCGAGCCTCGATATTGTTCTGTTCGATTGTCGTCGCGAGGTCTCAGAAACCCAACACCGTACGTTCTTCAATTCGCGTTCAGAACGCTTCGGCTCTGTCTGGTTGAGGGAGTTGCTTGGTTTAGTGCAGTGCAGAGTGGTGTGCTTGTTTCTGGTTCGCGATCGGTTTCGGTCGAACCTGGTAGCGTGACGAATGCGGTCGAACGCGAAACGAAATGCAGATTTGAGACCCGAAGTTCGGCTTTCGGGTCAAAGGGTTGGTCGAGTTGCGTGCATTCACGCACCAACCCCAACAGGTGCTCACGACGACTCACGAGATGCAGTGCCGTTCGCTTTTCGTTTCAAGTACCATGGTTCCGTTTGATGCGTTGCGGTTCATAGCGGTAAAGGAAGAAATCGTTTTTTAACGCGTGGAACTGTACTGAACCGCACTGACCAGCACATTCCCTCCGCACTTCACCACCCCCAAGAGATTGCAAATTGGAAGAGGCACCCCAGACCAGACACGCACGTCAAGCGACACTTGAGTCCAAATGCGCCAGCCATTGATGCCGGCGTGGAGCCCGGTCAGGAGCTCGTGACGTGACTCGTCAGTCCATTCGCTCCGCGGAGAAAGTGAATGCTATTTCGTCCTGCACGCTGTATTATTTTCGTGTCCGTTCTCCTCGTTTATAGCCTCGCGAACGCCGTCATGCTCGGCTGGTTGGGTCTAGGGCAAGTCCAGCCCGAGTTTTACGCGGACGAGTACTCGCCAGAGGTCGACCTATCAGGTATGCGAATTCGAGCTTCGATTGCGACGTTCGCGTTGAATGCGACAATCGCTGTTAAAGACTGGCGCATGAAACTGCGACGATTGGGATCAATGCGATCTCATTGGCCCGTCGAAATGCAACATAAGCGGACTCAAGAGTTGTGGGGCCTATCAGGTGCTCCCAAGCCGTGTTACACGGTCATACGCACTGGAATTCGTCGTTTACATAACGAATTCCACCTTCTCTGCTAAGCTAACAGTAGCGAAAATTGGCATTCCGTCGCGTCTGGGGGAATGCCAAATCGATGGTCCTTCCACCTGTCCGTCGATCTCCATTCGCTGGGTTTTTCGTCAATTTTGGTTTCCTAAAATCGCTGGTGAAACACATAATTAGAAGATATGTTAACTCTGGTGCTGCATTTGCCTCCTTCCAATGCTGTGCTCAGAATGTCGCCATGACATGCGCTGCTGTGCTGCAAGTGACGATTGCGTCCGTATTTGCCACGCTACACGTGCCTTCGTGCTGACAAACAACATTCTGTCTCATTTAATCATGCCATATGTAACAGGGTTACCAGATGGAGAGGAGGCCTCAGAGCTGCTCAGCTGTGACGTCTGGAAGGAGCCTCTGCCTCTCGGTACTCACTCTCTCACACCCGCACCCTCACACACACTCACAAGTGCGCGCATGCGCGTGCACACACACACACACAAGTGCGCGCGTGCGCGTGCACACACACACACACACATGCACGCACAAGCACACCAGCGCGCGTGCGCACACAAGCACACACCACAACCAACGTGATGCTCATTCACAATTTTTTCTTTCACACAAGTCCTTCTCCCCTGTTTTCTGCCCTTCCCTTCCATGTCTTCCGTATGTAGCCCTGTGTACAATGCTATTCAATGCAATGTCCTACATCCGTGCATGGTGGCAGGTTCAGAGCGGTTGAGAGCGTTGCTGCGGATCAACAACTTCAGAGACGAGCTGCGCGCCCTCAGGCACCACTTCCTGGGCACCAGAGAGCTCAGGTGCGCTTCTTGGGTGGGCCCCTGGCGTCTCTCGTGTTATCATGCGCACTCTCAGAGAAAACCTCATGAAAACTCAGGAACATGCGCACACCAGGCTCCAGCGACCTCTGGTGCGCTCACCAACTGGAAAGAGAACCCGAATCAGATCAGGAACATCTCCTCTGTCTCCTTCCACTGTCTCCCATGCCCTGCCCATGCCATGCCCATTCCATGCCCTGCTCGTGTGCACGCTCCCTCAGGGTGGTGACAGCCGCATGCAACGTGGTTTGCATATCCGACCCAAAATGAGGGCCGAGGCCCAACTCTCTCTTCAGGGAAACGATAATATGTTGCAAGATTTTTTTTACTTGCTTCCCTCATCTGCCCATGCCCATGCCGTGCGCATGCCTTGCCTGCCCGTCCCCCAGGGTGGTGACAGCTACATGGAACGTGGCGGGCATATCGGACCCGCCTTCTCACCTGGACCTCACGGACTGGCTCTCCCTGCAGCAACCCGCCGATATCATCGCCATCGGGTGGGTTGTTTCCCTTTACTGTCCTCAAAATACTATGCCATGTTATGTCATGTCATGCCATGCCATGCCATGTCTGTGGCCTGTGTTGCGCCACGCCTCTCTTGCCCACCTGGACCTCACGGACTGGCTCTCCCTGCAGTGCAGCAACCCGCCGACATCATCGCCATTGGGTGGGCGCTAACTGCTCTTTCCTGCCCTCACACAGCCGTGCTGCCATGCCATGTCCGTGGCCTGTTTTGCACGCCGCTCTCCTCCCCACCTGGCCCCCCTCACAACTGCCTCTCCCCTCCCTACCGCACCCAGCAGATATCATCACCATCAAGTGGGTGGGTGCTTGCTACCATACCACCACCCTTACTGCTCGCATCACCCCTCACGGGGTTGTGCTGTGCTGTGTCATGCGTGTGACCTGGGTTCACCCCTTTTTTGCGCCCACATGCCGTCCTGCTGAGCGTGGTAGGCAGAGTGCTGGGGATGAAATGAAAGCACTCAGACGGGAGTCCTTGACTCATTGCATCTTCCTTCGCGCCCATGTCTCCTCCCTCCCTTACCACAGCTTCCAGGAGATAGTCCCGCTGAGCACGGGCAGTGTGCCGGGGATGGACTCAGAGGAGGCTATTTCCGCCCTCTCATTTGTGTGCTCGTCCCTTCCCGTTCCACCATGTGCCCTTCTCATTTGCAGCTTCCAGGAGATAGTCCCTTTGAGCACGGGCAGTGTGTTGGGGATGGACTCAGAGGAAGCGGTGGGGCAATGGGAGGCCCTCGTGCGCCGCCAGCTCAACGCCGCCGCTGCCAAGGCCGCCAAGAAGGCTGCTGCCAAGGCTGCTGGCAGTGCTGCTTCTAGAGACTCTAGCAAGGCTGATGAATCCGTAGAGGGGGTGGTTGATGGGGCAGAGCAGGCAGTGACAGAGGGGGGTAGCAGGGCTGGTGATGATGAGACAAGCAGTGTGAGCAGTAGCAGTGGTGTGGCTGGGAAGGCCACGCCCCCCCCGTCTCTGACCAGCAGCAGCGACCTCTCCTTCCACACCAGCAGCTTCCGCCTTCCCTCCTCTGCTTCTGACGCCTCCAAAGGGTCACTTGATGGGAGTTCGGCTGTCGCTGCTGCTGCTGCAGCCTCCATGAGTCCAGCTGATTCTAGCGCTGCTGCTCCTGCTACATCTGAGTGGGAGGGGGGTGCTCTGCAGCAGGGTGAACATGCAGATAAGGTACCCCTGGATAAGATCCTGCCCGAGGATTTGATCAGCGTGCCGCTCACTCCTGCTGAGCCCATCTTTGCAGATGGAGGTGGATATGGTGGGGAGGGGAGGGGGGATGTGCAGGCGAGTGAGGGAGGGGTGGTAGGGAAGGTTGGGGAAGGGGAAGATGGTAGGGAAGATGTAGCAAAGGGAGGGGAAGAGGAGGGAAGGGGAGGGGAGATGGAGGAGTGGGAGGGAGGGGAGGTGGAGGAGGCATATGTGAAGGTGGCGGGGAGGCAGATGGTGGGGGTGTATCTGATGGTGTGGGCGCGGAAGGGATTGAGGAGGCACATTCATAGCGTCAAGGCCAGCACTGTGGGCTGTGGGCTCATGGGCATTCTTGGCAACAAGGTGAGCGGTTGAGTGCGGTGCAGTGCGGTTGAAAGAGATACATAGCTGTCTTGCATCAGGCCAACACCTTGGCTTTGGCCATTGGTGGAAGTAGATGCCGGAAGGTTAGGTTATTTGCTAGGCTGCGCTCGTCACTAGCAACAGCAATGTGGCATTTGTTGGATTTGAAGACGTCTGCAGCCGAGCTTCGTAATCAGTGCAGGCCTTCGAACCTTGGGACGGGAGGTGAGGCAGGCGCTGCAGCAGCAGCAGGGAAAGCAACAGTGGGAGCAGCAGCAAGAGAAGGAGCAACTATAGTAGCTGGCATCAACCATCGCATGGAGGAAGAGGGAGGAGCTGGAGGGGTAATGGAGGGTAGGGAAGAGAGAGGAGAAGAGAGATTGGAAGGCAGGGTACTGGGAGGAGAAGAGGTAGTATGGGGCTGAGAAGAGGGAGGTTAGGGAGAAGACGAGGGAGGGGAAGAAGTTTGGGAGGAGAGAGGGGAAAGAAAGGGAGAAATGAGAGGTGAAGGGGAAAACAGGAAGGGGAGTTGAAGCGAGACGAGAAAGAGGAAGCAAACGGGGAAGAGATGCCAACTTAGACACTAGAAATTACTTTTTTTTTTTTCGTGAACCCTTAAACCTTCCACCCGCTGACTCTTCTTGTGACAGCAGTTCCACCCCCCTCAATGTCGAGAACCTAGCCGTCCACCCCTCGTATGTGATTCTTTCCATCCTTACTTAGGAGGGAAGACTTTAGAAGAGAAGGGGGCAAAGAAAGAATTACATACGAGTGTGGATTCTTTCTTTGCCTCCTTCCCGTTTTTGTCTTCCCTCTCAAGTAAGGATGGAAAGAATCACATACAAGGGGTGGACAGTTTGGTTCTCGACATTGAGTGGAGGGAAACTGCTGTCACTAGAAGAGTCAGCGGGTGGAAGGTTTGAGGGTTCACGGAAATATCGTTTTGGGTGTCTATGGTGGCATCTCTTCCCCGTTTCCCTCCCCTTTCTCTTCTCGCTTCAACTTCCCTTCCCGTTTCCCCTTCCCCTCTCATTTCTCCTTCCCTTTCCCCTCCTCCTCCCAAACCTGTTCCTCTCCCTCATCCTCTCCCTCTAACCTCCCTCTTCCCAGCCCCACACTACCTCTTCTCCTCCACTTCCCTGCCTTCCACTCCCTCTTTTCCTCCCTGTTCCTGCCCTCCACTACCCCTCCTGCTCCCCTCTCTTCCTCCATGCGCTGGCTGATGCCGGCTACTGTTGTTGCTCCCACTGTTGCTGCTGCTGCTGCTGCTGCTGCTGCTGCGGCTGCCTCACCTCCCATTCCAAGGTTCGAGGACCTGCACTGACTACGAAGCTCGGCTGCAGACGTCTTCAAATCCAACAAATGCCCCGTTGCGGTTGCAAATGATGCTTCTGCTAATGCGCGTGAGCATTTGCCAGGCTGCGCTCATGATTGCAACCATGTCTCCTCACCTCCTCTACTCTGTTGCGGAACTTCGTGGGTGGCGGTTGAGTGTGGTTGTGCATGAGACGTCACTTGCTTTCATCTGTGCGCATCTAAATGCGCCCTCGTGGTATCTCCCTCGTGGTACCTCCCTCGTGGTACCTCCCTCGTGCCACCTCTCTCGTGCCACCTCTCTCGTGCCACCTCCCTTGTGGTACCTCCCTTGTGGTACCTCCCTTGTGGTACCTCCCTTGTGGTACCTCCCTCTACCACCTTCCTCATCATCCCCAACCCCTTCACACCTGCAGGGCTCAGTGGCAGTCAGCATGTCGGTGCATGAGTCCTCATTCACTTTCATCTGTGCGCATCTCAACGCGTGGGAGGAGCATGTCATTTCCACCCCCATGCCTCTTCCCTCACATACCAACACCACCTCCCTCATGCAATGCAGGGCTCAGTGGCAATAAGCATGTCGGTGCACGAGACATCATTCACCTTCATCTGCGCGCATCTCAATGCCGGGGAGGAGCGTGCCGATGCTGCCCGCCGCACATTTGACTTCCTCGAGATTCTCCGCCGCACCGCCTTCCCCAGGGAGCTGCCAGACCCATGGACAGCCAGGCTGGCAGAGACCATCACGGAACACGAGTGAGTGGTGTGTGGTGGTGTCGATTCTCAAAATGCCTTGTGTACCAGTGAGCCCCAACTCTGTCCCCTCTTTCGCTAGTCGGGTGTTTTTCTTTGGTGATCTCGTCTCGACTATTACCTGGAGCTGCCTTCCATCGTCTCGTCCCAAATTTCCATCTTCCCCGCTCACCACCACCACCCTTCCTCCCCCTCTCTCTTCTCCACTCCCCCATCCACCAGTCGGGTGTTCTTCTTTGGCGATCTCAACTACCGCCTCGAGCTGCCGGATTTGGAGGCGAGGGCGCTGCTGGCCAAGCGCGACTGGGAGGCGCTGCTGCAGCACGACCAGGTGAGATGCGGTGCTGTGCGGTGCTGTGGGATGCTGTGGAAGGGGATGGGTGCATGGTGCTGCAGTGGGAATGAGTGGTGTGCCGCAGTCTCTTGCGTGCTGCCGGATCAGGAGGACTTGTAGGGTAACTGGGGTAGATCTGTTGTGACGAGATAAAGGTTCATTTTTTAGACTTCTAAAAAATACACTTTTATTGTGTGGCTTCCGGACCAGGAGGACCTGTAGGGTAACTGGGGTTTAGAGCCGATACGGCAACTCAAGTGTGGTATGGTACCTCCCTGCCTGCCTGCCTTCCCGGTTTGTGAGTGAAGATGAGGACGATGGGGAGGACGAGAAGGGCAGCAAGAAGCCCCCTTTGCAGCACATCATCAAATGCCATTTCCACCCGCCTGCCTATCTCCCGCCTCCTTCAGCTGCGGTGGGAGCTGCCAGATGGAGGGGCACTCTCAGGGTGGCGGGAAGGCGCACCAAATGCTCTTTTCCCACACGCCTCTTTCTCCCCCCCCCCCCTTTTCCTCCCCCTTCCTGCAGCTGCGGTGGGAGTTGTCAGAAGGCGGCGCACTGCCAGGGTGGAGAGAGGGTCCCATCTTCTTTGCCCCGACCTACAAGTACGCATTGGGCAGCAACCGGTACGTGGGGGAGGACGAGGAGGACGGGGAGAAGCGCCGCACGCCCGCCTGGTGCGACCGCGTGCTCTGGTACGACTCGGGTGACGCCACTGACAGCCTCCCCCCCACCAGCATCAGCAGCCCCAGCCTCAGCACCACCACCACCACCACCGGGATCGCCAGCAGCGGCAGCATGAGCAGCATGGGGGGGTACGCGAGTGATGCGCTGCAGCTGGTGTCGTACTCGCGGGCGGAGCTGGCGCTGTCGGACCATCGGCCGGTGGCGGCGGTGTTTGCAGTGCAGGTGGAGGCGGTGGAGAGGGAGCGGTTTGATGCTGCTGTGGCCGTGGCGTGCCGGCAGCTGGACGAACGGCAGCAGCTCGCCATTCCGCATTTCTCTCTCAGCGCACATGCAGTTGAATTCGGAGAGGTGAGTTGGGTTGTCTTTTGAGAGCTCTCAAAAGCGACTCAGGTAAGTGAAGGAGCGGTGTTCGGGCTAGGCATACGCACAGTGGCGCCAGTGGCGGCAACAGTGGCGGCGGTGTGTGCAGTGTAGGTGGAGGCCGGGGAGAGGGGTCGTGGCGTGGAGAGAGCTGGTCGAGCGGCAGCAGCTGGGCAGTCCGCATTGCTCCCTCAGTGCTCATGCGGTTGAATTTGGAGAGGTGAAGTGTGGTGTCAGGGTGTGGTGTTGAAAGGCTAGGCACGTGTACAGCCACCGCTGTGGCTAGGCATCTGTGTTGCCAACACAGGTGCCTCTGTCATCCGTCGTATTGGCAGTCCCCGCCAGACTTGCTTTGCAACCACGCACGCCCCCAATCCCCCTCTCAGCCTTTCCCCTTCCCCCCCTCCCCGCACTCTCCCTCTCCCCCCCAACCACGCACCCACACCCCCCTTTCAATCTCTCCCCTTCGTCCTCTCCCTTTACCCCCTTCTTCCCCCCACCAGGTGGCCTATGCTTCTGTAATCCGTCGTTAGTGCGCCGACCATTGCCAATGCCACGCCTTTCACAATCTGGAATTTGGACAATCTGGTTCCTCTCCTTGGTTACGACTCGGGACTTCCCCGGGTGCATGGTTTTACCTTCGTTTTTCCTTCATTTTCTATAAATTGATGTATTATGACGTTAGGTTCTCAACAATCCAACGTCATGAACTCCCAGCACAACCCTGACGAGCTGGTGGGTGAGGAGGAGCTTGATCGCTCATTCTCTGTTGACTCCTTTGCCGATGAAGCTGTCATTCTTGCTGTCTCGGCTCTTTTCCCCGCCAAGCGAGTCTGTGCTGCTGCGTCCTCCAGCTCGATGCCTGTGGCTCCCCTGGTAGCCCGTGGGGTGGTGGAGAGGGAACGTCATGATACGTCGATTTATTGAAAATGAAGGATTAACGACGAGGTAATCATGGACCTAGGGAAGTCCTAAGGAGAGGAACCAAATATTTCAAATGCCAAAACGTGAAAGGCATGGCGCGTTTCTCACCCTTCCACCCATCTCTCCCCCTCCCCTTCCCCCACCAGGTGCCCTACGCCTCTGTCATCCGGCGAACCATAGAGCTGCACAATCTGGGTACGGTCCCCGCGTGCTTCTCCGTGGCCCCGGCAGGCAGCACCGACACCGCTGCCCCCGGCCCTGCAGGGGGGTGCGGGGCATGGGTGGTGGCAGAGCCAGCAGCAGGAGCAGTGGCGCCAGGGCACACGGTGACTCTCAGCCTGCACACCTGGGTGGCTGTGCCAGGCACGCGGGTCGATCTGCTGGTGGATCGCGGCGGGCTGCTGGATTTGATTTTGGTGGTCGCGATTGCGGGCGGAGGGGACCTGTTTGTGGCGTGCTCTGGGAGTTACGTGCCGTCGTGCTGGGGTCTGCGGTGAGTATTGCTGCTGTGGCTTGCGGAGGGTGTTGCTGTTTGTGGTTGTCGCAACGTGTGCCTGTGGAGGGGCTTGAGGTAGTTGTTGCTGATCTGTTTGTGGCGTGCTCTAAGAGCTATGTGCCGTCCTGCTGGGGCTTGCGGTGGGGTTTGAGTTGACTCAATAAGTCAGCTCGTTTGTATTCCTTGCCCGCTCCCCTGCATGCGACTCCAGTGCCTCTTCCTCTGCACCAACACCATTTCCCTTATCCCACCTCCTCTCCCTCCTCCATTCTTGCTGCCATTCCTATCCCTCCCCTCCCGTTCAACACTCCTGTCTGCTGTTCTCTTTCCCCGCTTTCTCCCCACCCCCTAGTCTAGAGGAACTCGCGGGCCTCAAACACCCCATCCTCTCGCTCTCTCGCCACGCCATCAACCCCAATCCTTTTTCCTTTCCCGCTTCCCTTCATTCGTGTCTCCCTCGTTTTGTCCACCCCGCTTTCCTTTCTCGCTCTCTCCCTCGTTTTTTCCCATCCGCTCGCCCTCCCTCAATGCCATCACCCTCGTTCCCCTCCTTTTTGTCCCCTTATCGTTCCTGCCATTCCTCTCCCTCCTCTCGTTCCCCTCCCCCCAGTCTGGAGGCCCTAGCAGGTCTCAAGGACCCCATCCGCTCGCTCTCCCTCGACGCCATCGCCGCCCGCCAGTGCTCCTCCCTGCGCTACAGCCGCGCTGCAGCTGCCTCCGCTGCTGGCGGTCACCAGGCCAGCATCGCAGAAGCTTCCGAAACCGACCCCGATAACGACTCTGCTGCTGCTGGCGGGGAGGATGATCGGCCGGTAGGAGCAGCGGCACGAGCAGGAGGAAACCCAGCCCATGCATGAGACGCGTTTGAGGTGGCCAAGGAGGTGGCCAAGGAGGTGGCCAAGGAGGTGGCCAAGGAGGTGGCCAAGGAGGTGGCCAAGGAGGTGGCCAAGGAGGTGGCCAAGGAGGTGGCCAAGGAGGTGGCCAAGGAGGTGGCCAAGGAGGTGGCCAAGGAGGTGGCCAAGGAGGTGGCCAAGGAGGTGGCCAAGGAGGTGGCCAAGGAGGTGGCCAAGGAGGTGGCCAAGGAGGTGGCCAAGGAGGTGGCCAAGGAGGTGGCCAAGGAGGTGGCCAAGGAGGTGGCCAAGGAGGTGGCCAAGGAGGTGGCCAAGGAGGTGGCCAAGGAGGTGGCCAAGGAGGTGGCCAAGGAGGTGGCCAAGGAGGTGGCCAAGGAGGTGGCCAAGGAGGTGGCCAAGGAGGTGGCCAAGGAGGTGGCAAGAGGTGGCCAAGGAGGTGGCCAAGGAGGTGGCCAAGGAGGTGGCCAAGGAGGTGGCCAAGGAGGTGGCCAAGGAGGTGGCCAAGGAGGTGGCCAAGGAGGTGGCCAAGGAGGTGGCCAAGGAGGTGGCCAAGGAGGTGGCCAAGGAGGTGGCCAAGGAGGTGGCCAAGGAGGTGGCCAAGGAGGTGGCCAAGGAGGTGGCCAAGGAGGTGGCCAAGGAGGTGGCCAAGGAGGTGGCCAAGGAGGTGGCCAAGGAGGTGGCCAAGGAGGTGGCCAAGGAGGTGGCCAAGGAGGTGGCCAAGGAGGTGGCCAAGGAGGTGGCCAAGGAGGTGGCCAAGGAGGTGGCCAAGGAGGTGGCCAAGGAGGTGGCCAAGGAGGTGGCCAAGGAGGTGGCCAAGGAGGTGGCCAAGGAGGTGGCCAAGGAGGTGGCCAAGGAGGTGGCCAAGGAGGTGGCCAAGGAGGTGGCCAAGGAGGTGGCCAAGGAGGTGGCCAAGGAGGTGGCCAAGGAGGTGGCCAAGGAGGTGGCCAAGGAGGTGGCCAAGGAGGTGGCCAAGGAGGTGGCCAAGGAGGTGGCCAAGGAGGTGGCCAAGGAGGTGGCCAAGGAGGTGGCCAAGGAGGTGGCCAAGGAGGTGGCCAAGGAGGTGGCCAAGGAGGTGGCCAAGGAGGTGGCCAAGGAGGTGGCCAAGGAGGTGGCCAAGGAGGTGGCCCAAGGAGGTGGCCAAGGAGGTGGCCAAGGAGGTGGCCAAGGAGGTGGCCAAGGAGGTGGCCAAGGAGGTGGCCAAGGAGGTGGCCAAGGAGGTGGCCAAGGAGGTGGCCAAGGAGGGGGCCAAGGAGGTGGCCAAGGAGGTGGCCAAGGAGGTGGCCAAGGAGGGTGGCCAAGGAGGTGGCCAAGAGGTGGCCAAGGAGGTGGCCAACGGAGGTGGCCAAGGAGGTGGCCAAGGAGGTGGCCAAGGAGGTGGCCAAGGAGGTGGCCAAGGAGGTGGCCAAGGAGGTGGCCAAGGAGGTGGCCAAGGAGGTGGCCAAGGAGGGTGCCAAGGGAGGTGGCCAAGGAGGTGGCCAAGGAGGTGGCCAAGGAGGTGGCCAAGGAGGTGGCCAAGGAGGTGGCCAAGGAGGTGGCCAAGGAGGTGGCCAAGGAGGTGGCCAAGGAGGTGGCCAAGGAGGTGGCCAAGGGAGGTGGCCAAGGAGGTGGCCAAGGAGGTGGCCAAGGAGGTGGCCAAGGAGGTGGCCAAGGAGGTGGCCAAGGAGGTGGCCAAGGAGGTGGCCAAGGAGGTGGCCAAGGAGGTGGCCAAGGAGGTGGCCAAGGAGGTGGCCAAGGAGGTGGCCAAGGAGGTGGCCAAGGAGGTGGCCAAGGAGGTGGCCAAGGAGGTGGCCAAGGAGGTGGCCAAGGAGGTGGCCAAGGAGGTGGCCAAGGAGGTGGCCAAGGAGGTGGCCAAGGAGGTGGCCAAGGAGGTGGCCAAGGAGGTGGCCAAGGAGGTGGCCAAGGAGGTGGCCAAGGAGGTGGCCAAGGAGGTGGCCAAGGAGGTGGCCAAGGAGGTGGCCAAGGAGGTGGCCAAGGAGGTGGCCAAGGAGGTGGCCAAGGAGGTGGCCAAGGAGGTGGCCAAGGAGGTGGCCAAGGAGGTGGCCAAGGAGGTGGCCAAGGAGGTGGCCAAGGAGGTGGCCAAGGAGGTGGCCAAGGAGGTGGCCAAGGAGGTGGCCAAGGAGGTGGCCAAGGAGGTGGCCAAGGAGGTGGCCAAGGAGGTGGCCAAGGAGGTGGCCAAGGAGGTGGCCAAGGAGGTGGCCAAGGAGGTGGCCAAGGAGGTGGCCAAGGAGGTGGCCAAGGAGGTGGCCAAGGAGGTGGCCAAGGAGGTGGCCAAGGAGGTGGCCAAGGAGGTGGCCAAGGAGGTGGCCAAGGAGGTGGCCAAGGAGGTGGCCAAGGAGGTGGCCAAGGAGGTGGCCAAGGAGGTGGCCAAGGAGGTGGCCAAGGAGGTGGCCAAGGAGGTGGCCAAGGAGGTGGCCAAGGAGGTGGCCAAGGAGGTGGCCAAGGAGGTGGCCAAGGAGGTGGCCAAGGAGGTGGCCAAGGAGGTGGCCAAGGAGGTGGCCAAGGAGGTGGCCAAGGAGGTGGCCAAGGAGGTGGCCAAGGAGGTGGCCAAGGAGGTGGCCAAGGAGGTGGCCAAGGAGGTGGCCAAGGAGGTGGCCAAGGAGGTGGCCAAGGAGGTGGCCAAGGAGGTGGCCAAGGAGGTGGCACAAGAGGAGTGGCCAAGGAGGTGGCCAAGGAGGTGGCCAAGGAGGTGGCCAAGGAGGTGGCCAAGGAGGTGGCCAAGGAGGTGGCCAAGGAGGTGGCCAAGGAGGTGGCCAAGGAGGTGGCCAAGGAGGTGGCCAAGGAGGTGGCCAAGGAGGTGGCCAAGGAGGTGGGCCAAGGAGGTGGCCAAGGAGGTGGCCAAGGAGGTGGCCAAGGAGGTGGCCAAGGAGGTGGCCAAGGAAGGTGGCCAAGGAGGTGGCCAAGGAGGTGGCCAAGGAGGTGGCCAAGGAGGTGGCCAAGGAGGTGGCCAAGGAGGTGGCAGGAGGTGGCCAAAGGAGGTGGCCAAGGAGGTGGCCAAGGAGGTGGCCAAGGAGGTGGCCAGAGGTGGCCAAGGAGGTGGCCAAGGAGGTGGCCAAGGAGGTGGCCAAGGAGGTGGCCAAGGAGGTGGCCAAGGAGGTGGCCAAGGAGGTGGCCAAGGAGGTGGCCAAGGAGGTGGCCAAGGAGGTGGCCAAGGAGGTGGCCAAGGAGGTGGCCAAGGAGGTGGCCAAGGAGGTGGCCAAGGAGGTGGCCAAGGAGGTGGCCAAGGAGGTGGCCAAGGAGGTGGCCAAGGAGGTGGCCAAGGAGGTGGCCAAGGAGGTGGCCAGGAGGTGGCCAAGGAGGTGGCCAAGGAGGTGGCCAAGGAGGTGGCCAAGGAGGTGGCCAAGGAGGTGGCCAAGGAGGTGGCCAAGGAGGTGGCCCAAGGAGGTGGCCAAGGAGGTGGCCAAGGAGGTGGACAAGGAGGTGGCCAAGGAGGTGGCCAAGGATTTGGTGGCCAAGGAGGTGGCCAAGGAGGTGGCCAAGGAGGTGGCCAAGGAGGTGGCCAAGGAGGTGGCCAAGGAGGTGGCCAAGGAGGTGGCAAGGAGGTGGCCAAGGAGGTGGCCAAGGAGGTGGCCAAGGGGGGCCAAGGAGGTGGCCAGGAGGTGGCCACAGGAGGTGGCCATCAGGAGGTGGCCAAGGAGGTGGCCAAGGAGGTGGCCAAGGAGGTGGCCAAGGAGGTGGCCAAGGAGGTGGCCAAAGGAGGTGGCCAAGGAGGTGGCCAAGGATGGTGGCCAAGGAGGTGGCCAAGGAGGTGGCCAAGGAGGTGGCCAAGGAGGTGGCCAAGGAGGTGGCCAAGGAGGTGGCCAAGGAGGTGGCCAAGGAGGTGGCCAAGGAGGTGGCCAAGGAGGTGGCCAAGGAGGTGGCCAAGGAGGTGGCCAAGGAGGTGGCCAAGGAGGTGGCCAAGGAGGTGGCCAAGGAGGTGGCCAAGGAGGTGGCCAAGGAGGTGGCCAAGGAGGTGGCCAAGGAGGTGGCCAAGGAGGTGGCCAAGGAGGTGGCCAAGGAGGTGGCCAAGGAGGTGGCCAAGGAGGTGGCCAAGGAGGTGGCCAAGGAGGTGGCCAAGGAGGTGGCCAAGGAGGTGGCCAAGGAGGTGGCCAAGGAGGTGGCCAAGGAGGTGGCCAAGGAGGTGGCCAAGGAGGTGGCCAAGGAGGTGGCCAAGGAGGTGGCCAAGGAGGTGGCCAAGGAGGTGGCCAAGGAGGTGGCCAAGGAGGTGGCCAAGGAGGTGGCCAAGGAGGTGGCCAAGGAGGTGGCCAAGGAGGTGGCCAAGGGAGGTGGCCAAGGAGGTGGCCAAGGAGGTGCCAAGGAGGTGGCCAAGGAGGTGGCCAAGGAGGTGGCCAAGGAGGTGGCCAAGGAGGTGGCCAAGGAGGTTGGCGCAAGGAGGTGGCCAAGGAGGTGGCCAAGGAGGTGGCCAAGGAGGTGGCCAAGGAGGTGGCCAAGGAGGTGGCCAAGGAGGTGGCCAAGGAGGTGGCCAAGGAGGTGGCCAAGGAGGTGGCCAAGGAGTGGCCAAGGAGGTGGCCCAAGGAGGTGGCCAAGGGAGGTGCCAAGGAGGTGGCCAAGGAGGTGGCCAAGGAGGTGGCCAAGGAGGTGGCCAAGGAGGTGGCCAAGGAGGTGGCCAAGGAGGTGGCCAAGGAGGTGGCCAAGGAGGTGGCCAAGGAGGTGGCCAAGGAGGTGGCCAAGGAGGTGGCCAAGGAGGTGGCCAAGGAGGTGGCCAAGGAGGTGGCCAAGGAGGTGGCCAAGGGGGAGGTGGCCAAGGAGGTGGCCAAGGAGGTGGCCAAGGAGGTGGCCAAGGAGGTGGCCAAGGAGGTGGCCAAGGAGGTGGCCAAGGAGGTGGCCAAGGAGGTGGCCAAGGAGGTGGCCAAGGAGGTGGCCAAGGAGGTGGCCAAGGAGGTGGCCAAGGAGGTGGCCAAGGAGGTGGCCAAGGAGGTGGCCAAGGAGGTGGCCAAGGAGGTGGCCAAGGAGGTGGCCAAGGAGGTGGCCAAGGAGGTGGCCAAGGAGGTGGCCAAGGAGGTGGCCAAGGAGGTGGCCAAGGAGGTGGCCAAGGAGGTGGCCAAGGAGGTGGCCAAGGAGGTGGCCAAGGAGGTGGCCAAGGAGGTGGCCAAGGAGGTGGCCAAGGAGGTGGCCAAGGAGGTGGCCAAGGAGGTGGCCAAGGAGGTGGCCAAGGAGGTGGCCAAGGAGGTGGCCAAGGAGGTGGCCAAGGAGGTGGCCAAGGAGGTGGCCAAGGAGGTGGCCAAGGAGGTGGCCAAGGAGGTGGCCAAGGAGGTGGCCAAGGAGGTGGCCAAGGAGGTGGCCAAGGAGGTGGCCAAGGAGGTGGCCAAGGAGGTGGCCAAGGAGGTGGCCAAGGAGGTGGCCAAGGAGGTGGCCAAGGAGGTGGCCAAGGAGGTGGCCAAGGAGGTGGCCAAGGAGGTGGCCAAGGAGGTGGCCAAGGAGGTGGCCAAGGAGGGTGGCCAAGGAGGTGGCCAAGGAGGTGGCCAAGGAGGTGGCCAAGGAGGTGGCCAAGGAGGTGGCCAAGGAGGTGGCCAAGGAGGTGGCCAAGGAGGTGGCCAAGGAGGTGGCCAAGGAGGTGGCCAAGGAGGTGGCCAAGGAGGTGGCCAAGGAGGTGGCCAAGGAGGTGGCAAGGAGGTGGCCAAGGAGGTGGCCAAGGAGGTGGCCAAGGAGGTGGCCAAGGAGGTGGCCAAGGAGGTGGCCAAGGAGGTGGCCAAGGAGGTGGCCAAGGAGGTGGCCAAGGAGGTGGCCAAGGAGGTGGCCAAGGAGGTGGCCAAGGAGGTGGCCAAGGAGGTGGCCAAGGAGGTGGCCAAGGAGGTGGCCAAGGAGGTGGCCAAGGAGGTGGCCAAGGAGGTGGCCAAGGAGGTGGCCAAGGAGGTGGCAAGGAGGTGGCCAAGGAGGTGGCCAAGGAGGTGGCCAAGGAGGTGGCCAAGGAGGTGGCCAAGGAGGTGGCCAAGGAGGTGGCCAAGGAGGTGGCCAAGGAGGTGGCCAAGGAGGTGGCCAAGGAGGTGGCCAAGGAGGTGGCCAAGGAGGTGGCCAAGGAGGTGGCCAAGGAGGTGGCCAAGGAGGTGGCCAAGGAGGTGGCCAAGGAGGTGGCCAAGGAGGTGGCCAAGGAGGTGGCCAAGGAGTGGCCAAGGAGGTGGCCAAGGAGGTGGCCAAGGAGGTGGCCAAGGAGGTGGCCAAGGAGGTGGCCAAGGAGGTGGCCAAGGAGGTGGCCAAGGAGGTGGCCCAAGGAGGTGGCCAAGGAGGTGGCCAAGGAGGTGGCCAAGGAGGTGGCCAAGGAGGTGGCCAAGGAGGTGGCCAAGGAGGTGGCCAAGGAGGTGGCCAAGGAGGTGGCCAAGGAGGTGGCCAAGGAGGTGGCCAAGGAGGTGGCCAAGGAGGTGGCCAAGGAGGTGGCCAAGGAGGTGGCCAAGGAGGTGGCCAAGGAGGTGGCCAAGGAGGTGGCCAAGGAGGTGGCCAAGGAGGTGGCCAAGGAGGTGGCCAAGGAGGTGGCCAAGGAGGTGGCCAAGGAGGTGGCCAAGGAGGTGGCCAAGGAGGTGGCCAAGGAGGTGGCCAAGGAGGTGGCCAAGGAGGTGGCCAAGGAGGTGGCCAAGGAGGTGGCCAAGGAGGTGGCCAAGGAGGTGGCCAAGGAGGTGGCCAAGGAGGTGGCCAAGGAGGTGGCCAAGGAGGTGGCCAAGGAGGTGGCCAAGGAGGTGGCCAAGGAGGTGGCCAAGGAGGTGGCCAAGGAGGTGGCCAAGGAGGTGGCCAAGGAGGTGGCCAAGGAGGTGGCCAAGGAGGTGGCCAAGGAGGTGGCCAAGGAGGTGGCCAAGGAGGTGGCCAAGGAGGTGGCCAAGGAGGTGGCCAAGGAGGTGGCCAAGGAGGTGGCCAAGGAGGTGGCCAAGGAGGTGGCCAAGGAGGTGGCCAAGGAGGTGGCCAAGGAGGTGGCCAAGGAGGTGGCCAAGGAGGTGGCCAAGGAGGTGGCCAAGGAGGTGGCCAAGGAGGTGGCCAAGGAGGTGGCCAAGGAGGTGGCCAAGGAGGTGGCCAAGGAGGTGGCCAAGGAGGTGGCCAAGGAGGTGGCCAAGGAGGTGGCCAAGGAGGTGGCCAAGGAGGTGGCCAAGGAGGTGGCCAAGGAGGTGGCCAAGGAGGTGGCCAAGGAGGTGGCCAAGGAGGTGGCCAAGGAGGTGGCCAAGGAGGTGGCCAAGGAGGTGGCCAAGGAGGTGGCCAAGGAGGTGGCCAAGGAGGTGGCCAAGGAGGTGGCCAAGGAGGTGGCCAAGGAGGTGGCCAAGGAGGTGGCCAAGGAGGTGGCCAAGGAGGTGGCCAAGGAGGTGGCCAAGGAGGTGGCCAAGGAGGTGGCCAAGGAGGTGGCCAAGGAGGTGGCCAAGGAGGTGGCCAAGGAGGTGGCCAAGGAGGTGGCCAAGGAGGTGGCCAAGGAGGTGGCCAAGGAGGTGGCAAGGAGGGTGGCCAAGGAGGTGGCCAAGAGGTGGCCAAGGAGGTGGCCAAGGAGGTGGCCAAGGAGGTGGCCAGGAGGTGGCCAAGGAGGTGGCCAAGGAGGTGGCCAAGGAGGTGGCCAAGGAGGTGGCCAAGGAGGTGGGCCAAGGAGTGGCCAAGGAGGTGGCCAAGGAGGTGGCCAAGGAGGTGGCCAGGAGGTGGCCCAGGAGGTGGCCAAGGAGGTGGCCAAGGAGGTGGCCAAGGAGGTGGCCAAGGAGGTGGCCAAGGAGGTGGCCACGGAGGTGGCCAAGGAGGTGGCCCAAGGAGGTGGCCAAGGAGGTGGCCAAGGAGGTGGCCAGGAGGTGCCAAGAGGGTGGCCAAGGAGGTGGCCAAGGAGGTGGCCAAGGACCGTGGCCAAGGATGGTGGGCCAAGGAGGGTGGGCCAAGGAGGTGGCCAAGGAGGTGGCCAAGGAGGGTGGCCATAGGGAGGGTGGCCAGGATGGTGGCCAAGGAGGTGGCCCAGGAGGTGGCCAAGATTTGTGGCCAGGGGTGGCCAAGGAGGTGGCCAAGGAGGTGGCCCAGGAGGTGGCCTAATGGAGGTGGCCAAGGAGGTGGCCAAGGAGGTGGCCAAGGAGGTGGCCAAGGAGGTGGCCAAGGAGGTGGCAAGGAGGTGGCCAAGGAGGTGGCCAAGGAGGTGGCCAAGGAGGTGGCCAAGGAGGTGGCCAAGGAGGTGGCCAAGGAGGTGGCCAAGGAGGTGGCCAGAGGTGGCCAAGGAGGTGGCCAAGGAGGTGGCCAAGGAGGTGGCCAAGGAGGTGGCCAAGGAGGTGGCCAAGGAGGTGGCCAAGGAGGTGGCCAAGGAGGTGGCCAAGGAGGTGGCCAAGGAGGTGGCCAAGGAGGTGGCCAAGGAGGTGGCCAAGGAGGTGGCCAAGGAGGTGGCCAAGGAGGTGGCCAAGGAGGTGGCCAAGGAGGTGGCCAAGGAGGTGGCCAAGGAGGTGGCCAAGGAGGTGGCCAAGGAGGTGGCCAAGGAGGTGGCCAAGGAGGTTGGCAAGGAGGTGGCCAAGGAGGGGCCAAGGAGGTGGCCAAGGAGGTGGCCAGGAGGTGGCCAAGGAGGTGGCCAAGGAGGTGGCAAGGAGGTGGCCAAGGAGGTGGCCAAGGAGGTGGCCAAGGAGGTGGCCAAGGAGGTGGCCAAGGAGGTGGCCAAGGAGGTGGCCAAGGAGGTGGCCAAGGAGGTGGCCAAGGGAGGTGGCCAAGGAGGTGGGCCAAGGAGGTGGCCAAGGAGGTGGCCAAGGAGGTGGCCAAGGAGGTGGCCAAGGAGGTGGCCAAGGAGGTGGCCAAGGAGGTGCCAGGAGGTGGCCAAGGAGGTGGCCAAGGAGGTGGCCAAGGAGGTGGCCAAGGAGGTGGCCAAGGAGGTGGCAAGGAGGTGGCCAAGGAGGTGGCCAAGGAGGTGGCCAAGGAGGTTGGCCAAGGAGGTGGCCAAGGAGGTGGGCCAAGGAGGTGGCCAAGGAGGTGGCCAAGGAGGTGGCCAAGGAGGTGGCCAAGGAGGTGGCCAAGGAGGTGGCCAAGGAGGTGGCCAAGAGGTGGCCAAGGAGGTGGCCAAGGAAGGTGGCCAAAGGAGGTGCCAAGGAGGTGGCCAAGGAGGTGGCCAAGGAGGTGGCCAAGGAGGTGGCCAAGGAGGTGGCCAAGGAGGTGGCCAAGGAGGTGGCCAAGGAGGTGGCCAAGGAGGTGGCCAAGGAGGTGGCCAAGGAGGTGGCCAAGGAGGTGGCCAAGGAGGTGGCCAAGGAGGTGGCCAGGAGGTGGCCAAGGAGGTGGCCAAGGAGGTGGCCAAGGAGGTGGCCAAGGAGGTGGCCAAGGAGGTGGCCAAGGAGGTGGCCAAGGAGGTGGCCAAGGAGGTGGCCAAGGAGGTGGCCAAGGAGGTGGCCAAGGAGGTGGCCAAGGAGGTGGCCAAGGAGGTGGCCAAGGAGGTGGCCAAGGAGGTGGCCAAGGAGGTGGCCAAGGAGGTGGCCAAGGAGGTGGCCAAGGAGGTGGCCAAGGAGGTGGCCAAGGAGGTGGCCAAGGAGGTGGCCAAGGAGGTGGCCAAGGAGGTGGCCAAGGAGGTGGCCAAGGAGGTGGCCAAGGAGGTGGCCAAGGAGGTGCAAGGAGGTGGCCAAGGAGGTGGCCAAGGAGGTGGCCAAGGAGGTGGCCAAGGAGGTGGCCAAGGAGGTGCCAAGGAGGGTGGCCAAGGAGGTGGCCAAGGAGGTGGCCAAGGAGGTGGCCAAGGAGGTGGCCAAGGAGGTGGCCAAGGAGGGTGGCCAAGGAGGTGGCCAAGGAGGTGGCCAAGGAGGTGGCCAAGGAGGTGGCCAAGGAGGTGGCCAAGGAGGTGGCCAAGGAGGTGGCCAAGGAGGTGGCCAAGGAGGTGGCCAAGGAGGTGCCAAGGAGGTGGCCAAGGAGGTGGCCAAGGAGGTGGCAAGGAGGTGGCCAAGGAGGTGGCCAAGGAGGTGGCCAAGGAGGTGGCCAAGGAGGTGGCCAAGGAGGTGGCAAGGAGGTGGCCAAGTGAGGTGGCCAAGGAGGTGGCCAAGGAGGTGGCCAAGGAGGTGGCAAGGAGGTGGCCAAGGAGGGGGCCAAGGAGGTGGCCAAGGAGGTGGCCAAGGAGGTGGCCAAGGAGGTGGCCAAGGAGGTGGCCTAAGGGTGGCCAAGGAGGTGGCCAAGGAGGTGGCCAAGGAGGTGGCCAAGGAGGTGGCCAAGGGAGGTGGCCAAGGAGGTGGCCAAGGAGGTGGCCAAGGAGGTGGCCAAGGAGGTGGCCAAGGAGGTGGCCACGGAGGAGGTGGCCAAGGAGGTGGCCAAGGAGGTGGCCAAGGAGGTGGCCAAGGAGGTGGCCAAGGAGGTGGCCAAGGAGGTGGCCAAGGAGGTGGCCAAGGAGGTGGCCAAGGAGGTGGCCAAGGAGGTGGCCAAGGAGGTGGCCAAGGAGGTGGCCAAGGAGGTGGCCAAGGAGGTGGCCAAGGAGGTGGCCAAGGAGGTGGCCAAGGAGGTGGCCAAGGAGGTGGCCAAGGAGGTGGCCAAGGAGGTGGCCAAGGAGGTGGCCAAGGAGGTGGCCAAGGAGGTGGCCAAGGAGGTGGCCAAGGAGGTGGCCAAGGAGGTGGCCAAGGAGGTGGCCAAGGAGGTGGCCAAGGAGGTGGCCAAGGAGGTGGCCAAGGAGGTGGCCAAGGAGGTGGCCAAGGAGGTGGCCAAGGAGGTGGCCAAGGAGGTGGCCAAGGAGGTGGCCAAGGAGGTGGCCAAGGAGGTGGCCAAGGAGGTGGCCAAGGAGGTGGCCAAGGAGGTGGCCAAGGAGGTGGCCAAGGAGGTGGCCAAGGAGGTGGCCAAGGAGGTGGCCAAGGAGGTGGCCAAGGAGGTGGCCAAGGAGGTGGCCAAGGAGGTGGCCAAGGAGGTGGCCAAGGAGGTGGCCAAGGAGGTGGCCAAGGAGGTGGCCAAGGAGGTGGCCAAGGAGGTGGCCAAGGAGGTGGCCAAGGAGGTGGCCAAGGAGGTGGCCAAGGAGGTGGCCAAGGAGGTGGCCAAGGAGGTGGCCAAGGAGGTGGCCAAGGAGGTGGCCAAGGAGGTGGCCAAGGAGGTGGCCAAGGAGGTGGCCAAGGAGGTGGCCAAGGAGGTGGCCAAGGAGGTGGCCAAGGAGGTGGCCAAGGAGGTGGCCAAGGAGGTGGCCAAGGAGGTGGCCAAGGAGGTGGCCAAGGAGGTGGCCAAGGAGGTGGCCAAGGAGGTGGCCAAGGAGGTGGCCAAGGAGGTGGCCAAGGAGGTGGCCAAGGAGGTGGCCAAGGAGGTGGCCAAGGAGGTGGCCAAGGAGGTGGCCAAGGAGGTGGCCAAGGAGGTGGCCAAGGAGGTGGCCAAGGAGGTGGCCAAGGAGGTGGCCAAGGAGGTGGCCAAGGAGGTGGCCAAGGAGGTGGCCAAGGAGGTGGCCAAGGAGGTGGCCAAGGAGGTGGCCAAGGAGGTGGCCAAGGAGGTGGCCAAGGAGGTGGCCAAGGAGGTGGCCAAGGAGGTGGCCAAGGAGGTGGCCAAGGAGGTGGCCAAGGAGGTGGCCAAGGAGGTGGCCAAGGAGGTGGCCAAGGAGGTGGCCAAGGAGGTGGCCAAGGAGGTGGCCAAGGAGGTGGCCAAGGAGGTGGCCAAGGAGGTGGCCAAGGAGGTGGCCAAGGAGGTGGCCAAGGAGGTGGCCAAGGAGGTGGCCAAGGAGGTGGCCAAGGAGGTGGCCAAGGAGGTGGCCAAGGAGGTGGCCAAGGAGGTGGCCAAGGAGGTGGCCAAGGAGGTGGCCAAGGAGGTGGCCAAGGAGGTGGCCAAGGAGGTGGCCAAGGAGGTGGCCAAGGAGGTGGCCAAGGAGGTGGCCAAGGAGGTGGCCAAGGAGGTGGCCAAGGAGGTGGCCAAGGAGGTGGCCAAGGAGGTGGCCAAGGAGGTGGCCAAGGAGGTGGCCAAGGAGGTGGCCAAGGAGGTGGCCAAGGAGGTGGCCAAGGAGGTGGCCAAGGAGGTGGCCAAGGAGGTGGCCAAGGAGGTGGCCAAGGAGGTGGCCAAGGAGGTGGCCAAGGAGGTGGCCAAGGAGGTGGCCAAGGAGGTGGCCAAGGAGGTGGCCAAGGAGGTGGCCAAGGAGGTGGCCAAGGAGGTGGCCAAGGAGGTGGCCAAGGAGGTGGCCAAGGAGGTGGCCAAGGAGGTGGCCAAGGAGGTGGCCAAGGAGGTGGCCAAGGAGGTGGCCAAGGAGGTGGCCAAGGAGGTGGCCAAGGAGGTGGCCAAGGAGGTGGCCAAGGAGGTGGCCAAGGAGGTGGCCAAGGAGGTGGCCAAGGAGGTGGCCAAGGAGGTGGCCAAGGAGGTGGCCAAGGAGGTGGCCAAGGAGGTGGCCAAGGAGGTGGCCAAGGAGGTGGCCAAGGAGGTGGCCAAGGAGGTGGCCAAGGAGGTGGCCAAGGAGGTGGCCAAGGAGGTGGCCAAGGAGGTGGCCAAGGAGGTGGCCAAGGAGGTGGCCAAGGAGGTGGCCAAGGAGGTGGCCAAGGAGGTGGCCAAGGAGGTGGCCAAGGAGGTGGCCAAGGAGGTGGCCAAGGAGGTGGCCAAGGAGGTGGCCAAGGAGGTGGCCAAGGAGGTGGCCAAGGAGGTGGCCAAGGAGGTGGCCAAGGAGGTGGCCAAGGAGGTGGCCAAGGAGGTGGCCAAGGAGGTGGCCAAGGAGGTGGCCAAGGAGGTGGCCAAGGAGGTGGCCAAGGAGGTGGCCAAGGAGGTGGCCAAGGAGGTGGCCAAGGAGGTGGCCAAGGAGGTGGCCAAGGAGGTGGCCAAGGAGGTGGCCAAGGAGGTGGCCAAGGAGGTGGCCAAGGAGGTGGCCAAGGAGGTGGCCAAGGAGGTGGCCAAGGAGGTGGCCAAGGAGGTGGCCAAGGAGGTGGCCAAGGAGGTGGCCAAGGAGGTGGCCAAGGAGGTGGCCAAGGAGGTGGCCAAGGAGGTGGCCAAGGAGGTGGCCAAGGAGGTGGCCAAGGAGGTGGCCAAGGAGGTGGCCAAGGAGGTGGCCAAGGAGGTGGCCAAGGAGGTGGCCAAGGAGGTGGCCAAGGAGGTGGCCAAGGAGGTGGCCAAGGAGGTGGCCAAGGAGGTGGCCAAGGAGGTGGCCAAGGAGGTGGCCAAGGAGGTGGCCAAGGAGGTGGCCAAGGAGGTGGCCAAGGAGGTGGCCAAGGAGGTGGCCAAGGAGGTGGCCAAGGAGGTGGCCAAGGAGGTGGCCAAGGAGGTGGCCAAGGAGGTGGCCAAGGAGGTGGCCAAGGAGGTGGCCAAGGAGGTGGCCAAGGAGGTGGCCAAGGAGGTGGCCAAGGAGGTGGCCAAGGAGGTGGCCAAGGAGGTGGCCAAGGAGGTGGCCAAGGAGGTGGCCAAGGAGGTGGCCAAGGAGGTGGCCAAGGAGGTGGCCAAGGAGGTGGCCAAGGAGGTGGCCAAGGAGGTGGCCAAGGAGGTGGCCAAGGAGGTGGCCAAGGAGGTGGCCAAGGAGGTGGCCAAGGAGGTGGCCAAGGAGGTGGCCAAGGAGGTGGCCAAGGAGGTGGCCAAGGAGGTGGCCAAGGAGGTGGCCAAGGAGGTGGCCAAGGAGGTGGCCAAGGAGGTGGCCAAGGAGGTGGCCAAGGAGGTGGCCAAGGAGGTGGCCAAGGAGGTGGCCAAGGAGGTGGCCAAGGAGGTGGCCAAGGAGGTGGCCAAGGAGGTGGCCAAGGAGGTGGCCAAGGAGGTGGCCAAGGAGGTGGCCAAGGAGGTGGCCAAGGAGGTGGCCAAGGAGGTGGCCAAGGAGGTGGCCAAGGAGGTGGCCAAGGAGGTGGCCAAGGAGGTGGCCAAGGAGGTGGCCAAGGAGGTGGCCAAGGAGGTGGCCAAGGAGGTGGCCAAGGAGGTGGCCAAGGAGGTGGCCAAGGAGGTGGCCAAGGAGGTGGCCAAGGAGGTGGCCAAGGAGGTGGCCAAGGAGGTGGCCAAGGAGGTGGCCAAGGAGGTGGCCAAGGAGGTGGCCAAGGAGGTGGCCAAGGAGGTGGCCAAGGAGGTGGCCAAGGAGGTGGCCAAGGAGGTGGCCAAGGAGGTGGCCAAGGAGGTGGCCAAGGAGGTGGCCAAGGAGGTGGCCAAGGAGGTGGCCAAGGAGGTGGCCAAGGAGGTGGCCAAGGAGGTGGCCAAGGAGGTGGCCAAGGAGGTGGCCAAGGAGGTGGCCAAGGAGGTGGCCAAGGAGGTGGCCAAGGAGGTGGCCAAGGAGGTGGCCAAGGAGGTGGCCAAGGAGGTGGCCAAGGAGGTGGCCAAGGAGGTGGCCAAGGAGGTGGCCAAGGAGGTGGCCAAGGAGGTGGCCAAGGAGGTGGCCAAGGAGGTGGCCAAGGAGGTGGCCAAGGAGGTGGCCAAGGAGGTGGCCAAGGAGGTGGCCAAGGAGGTGGCCAAGGAGGTGGCCAAGGAGGTGGCCAAGGAGGTGGCCAAGGAGGTGGCCAAGGAGGTGGCCAAGGAGGTGGCCAAGGAGGTGGCCAAGGAGGTGGCCAAGGAGGTGGCCAAGGAGGTGGCCAAGGAGGTGGCCAAGGAGGTGGCCAAGGAGGTGGCCAAGGAGGTGGCCAAGGAGGTGGCCAAGGAGGTGGCCAAGGAGGTGGCCAAGGAGGTGGCCAAGGAGGTGGCCAAGGAGGTGGCCAAGGAGGTGGCCAAGGAGGTGGCCAAGGAGGTGGCCAAGGAGGTGGCCAAGGAGGTGGCCAAGGAGGTGGCCAAGGAGGTGGCCAAGGAGGTGGCCAAGGAGGTGGCCAAGGAGGTGGCCAAGGAGGTGGCCAAGGAGGTGGCCAAGGAGGTGGCCAAGGAGGTGGCCAAGGAGGTGGCCAAGGAGGTGGCCAAGGAGGTGGCCAAGGAGGTGGCCAAGGAGGTGGCCAAGGAGGTGGCCAAGGAGGTGGCCAAGGAGGTGGCCAAGGAGGTGGCCAAGGAGGTGGCCAAGGAGGTGGCCAAGGAGGTGGCCAAGGAGGTGGCCAAGGAGGTGGCCAAGGAGGTGGCCAAGGAGGTGGCCAAGGAGGTGGCCAAGGAGGTGGCCAAGGAGGTGGCCAAGGAGGTGGCCAAGGAGGTGGCCAAGGAGGTGGCCAAGGAGGTGGCCAAGGAGGTGGCCAAGGAGGTGGCCAAGGAGGTGGCCAAGGAGGTGGCCAAGGAGGTGGCCAAGGAGGTGGCCAAGGAGGTGGCCAAGGAGGTGGCCAAGGAGGTGGCCAAGGAGGTGGCCAAGGAGGTGGCCAAGGAGGTGGCCAAGGAGGTGGCCAAGGAGGTGGCCAAGGAGGTGGCCAAGGAGGTGGCCAAGGAGGTGGCCAAGGAGGTGGCCAAGGAGGTGGCCAAGGAGGTGGCCAAGGAGGTGGCCAAGGAGGTGGCCAAGGAGGTGGCCAAGGAGGTGGCCAAGGAGGTGGCCAAGGAGGTGGCCAAGGAGGTGGCCAAGGAGGTGGCCAAGGAGGTGGCCAAGGAGGTGGCCAAGGAGGTGGCCAAGGAGGTGGCCAAGGAGGTGGCCAAGGAGGTGGCCAAGGAGGTGGCCAAGGAGGTGGCCAAGGAGGTGGCCAAGGAGGTGGCCAAGGAGGTGGCCAAGGAGGTGGCCAAGGAGGTGGCCAAGGAGGTGGCCAAGGAGGTGGCCAAGGAGGTGGCCAAGGAGGTGGCCAAGGAGGTGGCCAAGGAGGTGGCCAAGGAGGTGGCCAAGGAGGTGGCCAAGGAGGTGGCCAAGGAGGTGGCCAAGGAGGTGGCCAAGGAGGTGGCCAAGGAGGTGGCCAAGGAGGTGGCCAAGGAGGTGGCCAAGGAGGTGGCCAAGGAGGTGGCCAAGGAGGTGGCCAAGGAGGTGGCCAAGGAGGTGGCCAAGGAGGTGGCCAAGGAGGTGGCCAAGGAGGTGGCCAAGGAGGTGGCCAAGGAGGTGGCCAAGGAGGTGGCCAAGGAGGTGGCCAAGGAGGTGGCCAAGGAGGTGGCCAAGGAGGTGGCCAAGGAGGTGGCCAAGGAGGTGGCCAAGGAGGTGGCCAAGGAGGTGGCCAAGGAGGTGGCCAAGGAGGTGGCCAAGGAGGTGGCCAAGGAGGTGGCCAAGGAGGTGGCCAAGGAGGTGGCCAAGGAGGTGGCCAAGGAGGTGGCCAAGGAGGTGGCCAAGGAGGTGGCCAAGGAGGTGGCCAAGGAGGTGGCCAAGGAGGTGGCCAAGGAGGTGGCCAAGGAGGTGGCCAAGGAGGTGGCCAAGGAGGTGGCCAAGGAGGTGGCCAAGGAGGTGGCCAAGGAGGTGGCCAAGGAGGTGGCCAAGGAGGTGGCCAAGGAGGTGGCCAAGGAGGTGGCCAAGGAGGTGGCCAAGGAGGTGGCCAAGGAGGTGGCCAAGGAGGTGGCCAAGGAGGTGGCCAAGGAGGTGGCCAAGGAGGTGGCCAAGGAGGTGGCCAAGGAGGTGGCCAAGGAGGTGGCCAAGGAGGTGGCCAAGGAGGTGGCCAAGGAGGTGGCCAAGGAGGTGGCCAAGGAGGTGGCCAAGGAGGTGGCCAAGGAGGTGGCCAAGGAGGTGGCCAAGGAGGTGGCCAAGGAGGTGGCCAAGGAGGTGGCCAAGGAGGTGGCCAAGGAGGTGGCCAAGGAGGTGGCCAAGGAGGTGGCCAAGGAGGTGGCCAAGGAGGTGGCCAAGGAGGTGGCCAAGGAGGTGGCCAAGGAGGTGGCCAAGGAGGTGGCCAAGGAGGTGGCCAAGGAGGTGGCCAAGGAGGTGGCCAAGGAGGTGGCCAAGGAGGTGGCCAAGGAGGTGGCCAAGGAGGTGGCCAAGGAGGTGGCCAAGGAGGTGGCCAAGGAGGTGGCCAAGGAGGTGGCCAAGGAGGTGGCCAAGGAGGTGGCCAAGGAGGTGGCCAAGGAGGTGGCCAAGGAGGTGGCCAAGGAGGTGGCCAAGGAGGTGGCCAAGGAGGTGGCCAAGGAGGTGGCCAAGGAGGTGGCCAAGGAGGTGGCCAAGGAGGTGGCCAAGGAGGTGGCCAAGGAGGTGGCCAAGGAGGTGGCCAAGGAGGTGGCCAAGGAGGTGGCCAAGGAGGTGGCCAAGGAGGTGGCCAAGGAGGTGGCCAAGGAGGTGGCCAAGGAGGTGGCCAAGGAGGTGGCCAAGGAGGTGGCCAAGGAGGTGGCCAAGGAGGTGGCCAAGGAGGTGGCCAAGGAGGTGGCCAAGGAGGTGGCCAAGGAGGTGGCCAAGGAGGTGGCCAAGGAGGTGGCCAAGGAGGTGGCCAAGGAGGTGGCCAAGGAGGTGGCCAAGGAGGTGGCCAAGGAGGTGGCCAAGGAGGTGGCCAAGGAGGTGGCCAAGGAGGTGGCCAAGGAGGTGGCCAAGGAGGTGGCCAAGGAGGTGGCCAAGGAGGTGGCCAAGGAGGTGGCCAAGGAGGTGGCCAAGGAGGTGGCCAAGGAGGTGGCCAAGGAGGTGGCCAAGGAGGTGGCCAAGGAGGTGGCCAAGGAGGTGGCCAAGGAGGTGGCCAAGGAGGTGGCCAAGGAGGTGGCCAAGGAGGTGGCCAAGGAGGTGGCCAAGGAGGTGGCCAAGGAGGTGGCCAAGGAGGTGGCCAAGGAGGTGGCCAAGGAGGTGGCCAAGGAGGTGGCCAAGGAGGTGGCCAAGGAGGTGGCCAAGGAGGTGGCCAAGGAGGTGGCCAAGGAGGTGGCCAAGGAGGTGGCCAAGGAGGTGGCCAAGGAGGTGGCCAAGGAGGTGGCCAAGGAGGTGGCCAAGGAGGTGGCCAAGGAGGTGGCCAAGGAGGTGGCCAAGGAGGTGGCCAAGGAGGTGGCCAAGGAGGTGGCCAAGGAGGTGGCCAAGGAGGTGGCCAAGGAGGTGGCCAAGGAGGTGGCCAAGGAGGTGGCCAAGGAGGTGGCCAAGGAGGTGGCCAAGGAGGTGGCCAAGGAGGTGGCCAAGGAGGTGGCCAAGGAGGTGGCCAAGGAGGTGGCCAAGGAGGTGGCCAAGGAGGTGGCCAAGGAGGTGGCCAAGGAGGTGGCCAAGGAGGTGGCCAAGGAGGTGGCCAAGGAGGTGGCCAAGGAGGTGGCCAAGGAGGTGGCCAAGGAGGTGGCCAAGGAGGTGGCCAAGGAGGTGGCCAAGGAGGTGGCCAAGGAGGTGGCCAAGGAGGTGGCCAAGGAGGTGGCCAAGGAGGTGGCCAAGGAGGTGGCCAAGGAGGTGGCCAAGGAGGTGGCCAAGGAGGTGGCCAAGGAGGTGGCCAAGGAGGTGGCCAAGGAGGTGGCCAAGGAGGTGGCCAAGGAGGTGGCCAAGGAGGTGGCCAAGGAGGTGGCCAAGGAGGTGGCCAAGGAGGTGGCCAAGGAGGTGGCCAAGGAGGTGGCCAAGGAGGTGGCCAAGGAGGTGGCCAAGGAGGTGGCCAAGGAGGTGGCCAAGGAGGTGGCCAAGGAGGTGGCCAAGGAGGTGGCCAAGGAGGTGGCCAAGGAGGTGGCCAAGGAGGTGGCCAAGGAGGTGGCCAAGGAGGTGGCCAAGGAGGTGGCCAAGGAGGTGGCCAAGGAGGTGGCCAAGGAGGTGGCCAAGGAGGTGGCCAAGGAGGTGGCCAAGGAGGTGGCCAAGGAGGTGGCCAAGGAGGTGGCCAAGGAGGTGGCCAAGGAGGTGGCCAAGGAGGTGGCCAAGGAGGTGGCCAAGGAGGTGGCCAAGGAGGTGGCCAAGGAGGTGGCCAAGGAGGTGGCCAAGGAGGTGGCCAAGGAGGTGGCCAAGGAGGTGGCCAAGGAGGTGGCCAAGGAGGTGGCCAAGGAGGTGGCCAAGGAGGTGGCCAAGGAGGTGGCCAAGGAGGTGGCCAAGGAGGTGGCCAAGGAGGTGGCCAAGGAGGTGGCCAAGGAGGTGGCCAAGGAGGTGGCCAAGGAGGTGGCCAAGGAGGTGGCCAAGGAGGTGGCCAAGGAGGTGGCCAAGGAGGTGGCCAAGGAGGTGGCCAAGGAGGTGGCCAAGGAGGTGGCCAAGGAGGTGGCCAAGGAGGTGGCCAAGGAGGTGGCCAAGGAGGTGGCCAAGGAGGTGGCCAAGGAGGTGGCCAAGGAGGTGGCCAAGGAGGTGGCCAAGGAGGTGGCCAAGGAGGTGGCCAAGGAGGTGGCCAAGGAGGTGGCCAAGGAGGTGGCCAAGGAGGTGGCCAAGGAGGTGGCCAAGGAGGTGGCCAAGGAGGTGGCCAAGGAGGTGGCCAAGGAGGTGGCCAAGGAGGTGGCCAAGGAGGTGGCCAAGGAGGTGGCCAAGGAGGTGGCCAAGGAGGTGGCCAAGGAGGTGGCCAAGGAGGTGGCCAAGGAGGTGGCCAAGGAGGTGGCCAAGGAGGTGGCCAAGGAGGTGGCCAAGGAGGTGGCCAAGGAGGTGGCCAAGGAGGTGGCCAAGGAGGTGGCCAAGGAGGTGGCCAAGGAGGTGGCCAAGGAGGTGGCCAAGGAGGTGGCCAAGGAGGTGGCCAAGGAGGTGGCCAAGGAGGTGGCCAAGGAGGTGGCCAAGGAGGTGGCCAAGGAGGTGGCCAAGGAGGTGGCCAAGGAGGTGGCCAAGGAGGTGGCCAAGGAGGTGGCCAAGGAGGTGGCCAAGGAGGTGGCCAAGGAGGTGGCCAAGGAGGTGGCCAAGGAGGTGGCCAAGGAGGTGGCCAAGGAGGTGGCCAAGGAGGTGGCCAAGGAGGTGGCCAAGGAGGTGGCCAAGGAGGTGGCCAAGGAGGTGGCCAAGGAGGTGGCCAAGGAGGTGGCCAAGGAGGTGGCCAAGGAGGTGGCCAAGGAGGTGGCCAAGGAGGTGGCCAAGGAGGTGGCCAAGGAGGTGGCCAAGGAGGTGGCCAAGGAGGTGGCCAAGGAGGTGGCCAAGGAGGTGGCCAAGGAGGTGGCCAAGGAGGTGGCCAAGGAGGTGGCCAAGGAGGTGGCCAAGGAGGTGGCCAAGGAGGTGGCCAAGGAGGTGGCCAAGGAGGTGGCCAAGGAGGTGGCCAAGGAGGTGGCCAAGGAGGTGGCCAAGGAGGTGGCCAAGGAGGTGGCCAAGGAGGTGGCCAAGGAGGTGGCCAAGGAGGTGGCCAAGGAGGTGGCCAAGGAGGTGGCCAAGGAGGTGGCCAAGGAGGTGGCCAAGGAGGTGGCCAAGGAGGTGGCCAAGGAGGTGGCCAAGGAGGTGGCCAAGGAGGTGGCCAAGGAGGTGGCCAAGGAGGTGGCCAAGGAGGTGGCCAAGGAGGTGGCCAAGGAGGTGGCCAAGGAGGTGGCCAAGGAGGTGGCCAAGGAGGTGGCCAAGGAGGTGGCCAAGGAGGTGGCCAAGGAGGTGGCCAAGGAGGTGGCCAAGGAGGTGGCCAAGGAGGTGGCCAAGGAGGTGGCCAAGGAGGTGGCCAAGGAGGTGGCCAAGGAGGTGGCCAAGGAGGTGGCCAAGGAGGTGGCCAAGGAGGTGGCCAAGGAGGTGGCCAAGGAGGTGGCCAAGGAGGTGGCCAAGGAGGTGGCCAAGGAGGTGGCCAAGGAGGTGGCCAAGGAGGTGGCCAAGGAGGTGGCCAAGGAGGTGGCCAAGGAGGTGGCCAAGGAGGTGGCCAAGGAGGTGGCCAAGGAGGTGGCCAAGGAGGTGGCCAAGGAGGTGGCCAAGGAGGTGGCCAAGGAGGTGGCCAAGGAGGTGGCCAAGGAGGTGGCCAAGGAGGTGGCCAAGGAGGTGGCCAAGGAGGTGGCCAAGGAGGTGGCCAAGGAGGTGGCCAAGGAGGTGGCCAAGGAGGTGGCCAAGGAGGTGGCCAAGGAGGTGGCCAAGGAGGTGGCCAAGGAGGTGGCCAAGGAGGTGGCCAAGGAGGTGGCCAAGGAGGTGGCCAAGGAGGTGGCCAAGGAGGTGGCCAAGGAGGTGGCCAAGGAGGTGGCCAAGGAGGTGGCCAAGGAGGTGGCCAAGGAGGTGGCCAAGGAGGTGGCCAAGGAGGTGGCCAAGGAGGTGGCCAAGGAGGTGGCCAAGGAGGTGGCCAAGGAGGTGGCCAAGGAGGTGGCCAAGGAGGTGGCCAAGGAGGTGGCCAAGGAGGTGGCCAAGGAGGTGGCCAAGGAGGTGGCCAAGGAGGTGGCCAAGGAGGTGGCCAAGGAGGTGGCCAAGGAGGTGGCCAAGGAGGTGGCCAAGGAGGTGGCCAAGGAGGTGGCCAAGGAGGTGGCCAAGGAGGTGGCCAAGGAGGTGGCCAAGGAGGTGGCCAAGGAGGTGGCCAAGGAGGTGGCCAAGGAGGTGGCCAAGGAGGTGGCCAAGGAGGTGGCCAAGGAGGTGGCCAAGGAGGTGGCCAAGGAGGTGGCCAAGGAGGTGGCCAAGGAGGTGGCCAAGGAGGTGGCCAAGGAGGTGGCCAAGGAGGTGGCCAAGGAGGTGGCCAAGGAGGTGGCCAAGGAGGTGGCCAAGGAGGTGGCCAAGGAGGTGGCCAAGGAGGTGGCCAAGGAGGTGGCCAAGGAGGTGGCCAAGGAGGTGGCCAAGGAGGTGGCCAAGGAGGTGGCCAAGGAGGTGGCCAAGGAGGTGGCCAAGGAGGTGGCCAAGGAGGTGGCCAAGGAGGTGGCCAAGGAGGTGGCCAAGGAGGTGGCCAAGGAGGTGGCCAAGGAGGTGGCCAAGGAGGTGGCCAAGGAGGTGGCCAAGGAGGTGGCCAAGGAGGTGGCCAAGGAGGTGGCCAAGGAGGTGGCCAAGGAGGTGGCCAAGGAGGTGGCCAAGGAGGTGGCCAAGGAGGTGGCCAAGGAGGTGGCCAAGGAGGTGGCCAAGGAGGTGGCCAAGGAGGTGGCCAAGGAGGTGGCCAAGGAGGTGGCCAAGGAGGTGGCCAAGGAGGTGGCCAAGGAGGTGGCCAAGGAGGTGGCCAAGGAGGTGGCCAAGGAGGTGGCCAAGGAGGTGGCCAAGGAGGTGGCCAAGGAGGTGGCCAAGGAGGTGGCCAAGGAGGTGGCCAAGGAGGTGGCCAAGGAGGTGGCCAAGGAGGTGGCCAAGGAGGTGGCCAAGGAGGTGGCCAAGGAGGTGGCCAAGGAGGTGGCCAAGGAGGTGGCCAAGGAGGTGGCCAAGGAGGTGGCCAAGGAGGTGGCCAAGGAGGTGGCCAAGGAGGTGGCCAAGGAGGTGGCCAAGGAGGTGGCCAAGGAGGTGGCCAAGGAGGTGGCCAAGGAGGTGGCCAAGGAGGTGGCCAAGGAGGTGGCCAAGGAGGTGGCCAAGGAGGTGGCCAAGGAGGTGGCCAAGGAGGTGGCCAAGGAGGTGGCCAAGGAGGTGGCCAAGGAGGTGGCCAAGGAGGTGGCCAAGGAGGTGGCCAAGGAGGTGGCCAAGGAGGTGGCCAAGGAGGTGGCCAAGGAGGTGGCCAAGGAGGTGGCCAAGGAGGTGGCCAAGGAGGTGGCCAAGGAGGTGGCCAAGGAGGTGGCCAAGGAGGTGGCCAAGGAGGTGGCCAAGGAGGTGGCCAAGGAGGTGGCCAAGGAGGTGGCCAAGGAGGTGGCCAAGGAGGTGGCCAAGGAGGTGGCCAAGGAGGTGGCCAAGGAGGTGGCCAAGGAGGTGGCCAAGGAGGTGGCCAAGGAGGTGGCCAAGGAGGTGGCCAAGGAGGTGGCCAAGGAGGTGGCCAAGGAGGTGGCCAAGGAGGTGGCCAAGGAGGTGGCCAAGGAGGTGGCCAAGGAGGTGGCCAAGGAGGTGGCCAAGGAGGTGGCCAAGGAGGTGGCCAAGGAGGTGGCCAAGGAGGTGGCCAAGGAGGTGGCCAAGGAGGTGGCCAAGGAGGTGGCCAAGGAGGTGGCCAAGGAGGTGGCCAAGGAGGTGGCCAAGGAGGTGGCCAAGGAGGTGGCCAAGGAGGTGGCCAAGGAGGTGGCCAAGGAGGTGGCCAAGGAGGTGGCCAAGGAGGTGGCCAAGGAGGTGGCCAAGGAGGTGGCCAAGGAGGTGGCCAAGGAGGTGGCCAAGGAGGTGGCCAAGGAGGTGGCCAAGGAGGTGGCCAAGGAGGTGGCCAAGGAGGTGGCCAAGGAGGTGGCCAAGGAGGTGGCCAAGGAGGTGGCCAAGGAGGTGGCCAAGGAGGTGGCCAAGGAGGTGGCCAAGGAGGTGGCCAAGGAGGTGGCCAAGGAGGTGGCCAAGGAGGTGGCCAAGGAGGTGGCCAAGGAGGTGGCCAAGGAGGTGGCCAAGGAGGTGGCCAAGGAGGTGGCCAAGGAGGTGGCCAAGGAGGTGGCCAAGGAGGTGGCCAAGGAGGTGGCCAAGGAGGTGGCCAAGGAGGTGGCCAAGGAGGTGGCCAAGGAGGTGGCCAAGGAGGTGGCCAAGGAGGTGGCCAAGGAGGTGGCCAAGGAGGTGGCCAAGGAGGTGGCCAAGGAGGTGGCCAAGGAGGTGGCCAAGGAGGTGGCCAAGGAGGTGGCCAAGGAGGTGGCCAAGGAGGTGGCCAAGGAGGTGGCCAAGGAGGTGGCCAAGGAGGTGGCCAAGGAGGTGGCCAAGGAGGTGGCCAAGGAGGTGGCCAAGGAGGTGGCCAAGGAGGTGGCCAAGGAGGTGGCCAAGGAGGTGGCCAAGGAGGTGGCCAAGGAGGTGGCCAAGGAGGTGGCCAAGGAGGTGGCCAAGGAGGTGGCCAAGGAGGTGGCCAAGGAGGTGGCCAAGGAGGTGGCCAAGGAGGTGGCCAAGGAGGTGGCCAAGGAGGTGGCCAAGGAGGTGGCCAAGGAGGTGGCCAAGGAGGTGGCCAAGGAGGTGGCCAAGGAGGTGGCCAAGGAGGTGGCCAAGGAGGTGGCCAAGGAGGTGGCCAAGGAGGTGGCCAAGGAGGTGGCCAAGGAGGTGGCCAAGGAGGTGGCCAAGGAGGTGGCCAAGGAGGTGGCCAAGGAGGTGGCCAAGGAGGTGGCCAAGGAGGTGGCCAAGGAGGTGGCCAAGGAGGTGGCCAAGGAGGTGGCCAAGGAGGTGGCCAAGGAGGTGGCCAAGGAGGTGGCCAAGGAGGTGGCCAAGGAGGTGGCCAAGGAGGTGGCCAAGGAGGTGGCCAAGGAGGTGGCCAAGGAGGTGGCCAAGGAGGTGGCCAAGGAGGTGGCCAAGGAGGTGGCCAAGGAGGTGGCCAAGGAGGTGGCCAAGGAGGTGGCCAAGGAGGTGGCCAAGGAGGTGGCCAAGGAGGTGGCCAAGGAGGTGGCCAAGGAGGTGGCCAAGGAGGTGGCCAAGGAGGTGGCCAAGGAGGTGGCCAAGGAGGTGGCCAAGGAGGTGGCCAAGGAGGTGGCCAAGGAGGTGGCCAAGGAGGTGGCCAAGGAGGTGGCCAAGGAGGTGGCCAAGGAGGTGGCCAAGGAGGTGGCCAAGGAGGTGGCCAAGGAGGTGGCCAAGGAGGTGGCCAAGGAGGTGGCCAAGGAGGTGGCCAAGGAGGTGGCCAAGGAGGTGGCCAAGGAGGTGGCCAAGGAGGTGGCCAAGGAGGTGGCCAAGGAGGTGGCCAAGGAGGTGGCCAAGGAGGTGGCCAAGGAGGTGGCCAAGGAGGTGGCCAAGGAGGTGGCCAAGGAGGTGGCCAAGGAGGTGGCCAAGGAGGTGGCCAAGGAGGTGGCCAAGGAGGTGGCCAAGGAGGTGGCCAAGGAGGTGGCCAAGGAGGTGGCCAAGGAGGTGGCCAAGGAGGTGGCCAAGGAGGTGGCCAAGGAGGTGGCCAAGGAGGTGGCCAAGGAGGTGGCCAAGGAGGTGGCCAAGGAGGTGGCCAAGGAGGTGGCCAAGGAGGTGGCCAAGGAGGTGGCCAAGGAGGTGGCCAAGGAGGTGGCCAAGGAGGTGGCCAAGGAGGTGGCCAAGGAGGTGGCCAAGGAGGTGGCCAAGGAGGTGGCCAAGGAGGTGGCCAAGGAGGTGGCCAAGGAGGTGGCCAAGGAGGTGGCCAAGGAGGTGGCCAAGGAGGTGGCCAAGGAGGTGGCCAAGGAGGTGGCCAAGGAGGTGGCCAAGGAGGTGGCCAAGGAGGTGGCCAAGGAGGTGGCCAAGGAGGTGGCCAAGGAGGTGGCCAAGGAGGTGGCCAAGGAGGTGGCCAAGGAGGTGGCCAAGGAGGTGGCCAAGGAGGTGGCCAAGGAGGTGGCCAAGGAGGTGGCCAAGGAGGTGGCCAAGGAGGTGGCCAAGGAGGTGGCCAAGGAGGTGGCCAAGGAGGTGGCCAAGGAGGTGGCCAAGGAGGTGGCCAAGGAGGTGGCCAAGGAGGTGGCCAAGGAGGTGGCCAAGGAGGTGGCCAAGGAGGTGGCCAAGGAGGTGGCCAAGGAGGTGGCCAAGGAGGTGGCCAAGGAGGTGGCCAAGGAGGTGGCCAAGGAGGTGGCCAAGGAGGTGGCCAAGGAGGTGGCCAAGGAGGTGGCCAAGGAGGTGGCCAAGGAGGTGGCCAAGGAGGTGGCCAAGGAGGTGGCCAAGGAGGTGGCCAAGGAGGTGGCCAAGGAGGTGGCCAAGGAGGTGGCCAAGGAGGTGGCCAAGGAGGTGGCCAAGGAGGTGGCCAAGGAGGTGGCCAAGGAGGTGGCCAAGGAGGTGGCCAAGGAGGTGGCCAAGGAGGTGGCCAAGGAGGTGGCCAAGGAGGTGGCCAAGGAGGTGGCCAAGGAGGTGGCCAAGGAGGTGGCCAAGGAGGTGGCCAAGGAGGTGGCCAAGGAGGTGGCCAAGGAGGTGGCCAAGGAGGTGGCCAAGGAGGTGGCCAAGGAGGTGGCCAAGGAGGTGGCCAAGGAGGTGGCCAAGGAGGTGGCCAAGGAGGTGGCCAAGGAGGTGGCCAAGGAGGTGGCCAAGGAGGTGGCCAAGGAGGTGGCCAAGGAGGTGGCCAAGGAGGTGGCCAAGGAGGTGGCCAAGGAGGTGGCCAAGGAGGTGGCCAAGGAGGTGGCCAAGGAGGTGGCCAAGGAGGTGGCCAAGGAGGTGGCCAAGGAGGTGGCCAAGGAGGTGGCCAAGGAGGTGGCCAAGGAGGTGGCCAAGGAGGTGGCCAAGGAGGTGGCCAAGGAGGTGGCCAAGGAGGTGGCCAAGGAGGTGGCCAAGGAGGTGGCCAAGGAGGTGGCCAAGGAGGTGGCCAAGGAGGTGGCCAAGGAGGTGGCCAAGGAGGTGGCCAAGGAGGTGGCCAAGGAGGTGGCCAAGGAGGTGGCCAAGGAGGTGGCCAAGGAGGTGGCCAAGGAGGTGGCCAAGGAGGTGGCCAAGGAGGTGGCCAAGGAGGTGGCCAAGGAGGTGGCCAAGGAGGTGGCCAAGGAGGTGGCCAAGGAGGTGGCCAAGGAGGTGGCCAAGGAGGTGGCCAAGGAGGTGGCCAAGGAGGTGGCCAAGGAGGTGGCCAAGGAGGTGGCCAAGGAGGTGGCCAAGGAGGTGGCCAAGGAGGTGGCCAAGGAGGTGGCCAAGGAGGTGGCCAAGGAGGTGGCCAAGGAGGTGGCCAAGGAGGTGGCCAAGGAGGTGGCCAAGGAGGTGGCCAAGGAGGTGGCCAAGGAGGTGGCCAAGGAGGTGGCCAAGGAGGTGGCCAAGGAGGTGGCCAAGGAGGTGGCCAAGGAGGTGGCCAAGGAGGTGGCCAAGGAGGTGGCCAAGGAGGTGGCCAAGGAGGTGGCCAAGGAGGTGGCCAAGGAGGTGGCCAAGGAGGTGGCCAAGGAGGTGGCCAAGGAGGTGGCCAAGGAGGTGGCCAAGGAGGTGGCCAAGGAGGTGGCCAAGGAGGTGGCCAAGGAGGTGGCCAAGGAGGTGGCCAAGGAGGTGGCCAAGGAGGTGGCCAAGGAGGTGGCCAAGGAGGTGGCCAAGGAGGTGGCCAAGGAGGTGGCCAAGGAGGTGGCCAAGGAGGTGGCCAAGGAGGTGGCCAAGGAGGTGGCCAAGGAGGTGGCCAAGGAGGTGGCCAAGGAGGTGGCCAAGGAGGTGGCCAAGGAGGTGGCCAAGGAGGTGGCCAAGGAGGTGGCCAAGGAGGTGGCCAAGGAGGTGGCCAAGGAGGTGGCCAAGGAGGTGGCCAAGGAGGTGGCCAAGGAGGTGGCCAAGGAGGTGGCCAAGGAGGTGGCCAAGGAGGTGGCCAAGGAGGTGGCCAAGGAGGTGGCCAAGGAGGTGGCCAAGGAGGTGGCCAAGGAGGTGGCCAAGGAGGTGGCCAAGGAGGTGGCCAAGGAGGTGGCCAAGGAGGTGGCCAAGGCAGGTGGCCAAGGAGGTGGCCAAGGAGGTGGCCAAGGAGGTGGCCAAGGAGGTGGCCAAGGAGGTGGCCAAGGAGGTGGCCAAGGAGGTGGCCAAGGAGGTGGCCAAGGAGGTGGCAAGGAGGTGGCCAAGGAGGTGGCCCAAGGAGGTGGCCAAGGAGGTGGCCAAGGAGGTGGCCAAGGAGGTGGCCAAGGAGGTGGCCAAGGAGGGTGGCCAAGGAGGTGGCCAAGGAGGTGGCCAAGGAGGTGGCCAAGGAGGTGGCCAAGGAGGTGGCAAGGAGGTGGCCAGATAGGAGGTGGCCAAGGAGGTGGCCAAGGAGGTGGCCAAGGAGGTGGCCAAGGAGGTGGCCAAGGATGGTGGCCAAGGAGGTGGCCAAGGAGGTGGCCAAGGAGGTGGCCAAGGAGGTGGCCAAGGAGGTGGCCAAGGAGGTGGCCAAGGAGGTGGCCAAGGAGGGGGGTGGCCAAGGAGGTGGCCAAGGAGGTGGCCAAGGAGGTGGCCAAGGAGGTGGCCAAGGAGGTGGCCAAGGAGGTGGCCAAGGATGGCTGGCCAAGGACGGTGGCCAAGGAGGTGGCCAAGGATGTGGCCAAGGAGGTTGCCAAGGAGGTGGCCAAGGAGGTGGGCCAAGAGGTGGCCAAGGAGGTGGCCAAGGAGGTGACCAAGGAGGTGGCCAAGGAGGTGGCCAAGGAGGTGGCCAAGGAGGTGGCCAAGGAGGTGGCCAAGGAGGTGGCCAAGGAGGTGGCCAAGGAGGTGGCCAAGGAGGTGGCCCCGGAGTGGCCAAGGAGGTGGCCAAGGAGGTGGCCAAGGAGGTGGCCAAGGAGGTGGCCAAGGAGGTGGCCAAGGAGGTGGCCAAGGGAGGTGGCCAAGGAGTGGGCCAAGGAGTGGTGGCCAAGGAGGTGGCCAAGGAGGTGGCCAAGGAGGTGGCCAAGGAGGTGGCCAAGGAGGTGGCCAAGGAGGTGGCCAAGGAGGTGGCCAAGGAGGTGGCCAAGGAGGTGGCCAAGGAGGTGGCCAAGGAGGTGGCCAAGGAGGTGGCCAAGGAGGTGGCCAAGGAGGTGGCCAAGGAGGTGGCCAAGGAGGTGGCCAAGGAGGTGGCCAAGGAGGTGGCCAAGGAGTGGCCAAGGAGGTGGCCAAGGAGGTGGCCAAGGAGGTGGCCAAGGAGGTGGCCAAGGAGGTGGCCAAGGAGGTGGCCAAGGAGGTGGCCAAGGAGGTGGCCAAGGAGGTGGCCAAGGAGGTGGCCAAGGAGGTGGCCAAGGAGGTGGCCAAGGAGGTGGCCAAGGAGGTGGCCAAGGAGGTGGCCAAGGAGGTGGCCAAGGAGGTGGCCAAGGAGGTGGCCAAGGAGGTGGCCAAGGAGGTGGCCAAGGAGGTGGCCAAGGAGGTGGCCAAGGAGGTGGCCAAGGAGGTGGCCAAGGAGGTGGCCAAGGAGGTGGCCAAGGAGGTGGCCAAGGAGGTGGCCAAGGAGGTGGCCAAGGAGGTGGCCAAGGAGGTGGCCAAGGAGGTGGCCAAGGAGGTGGCCAAGGAGGTGGCCAAGGAGGTGGCCAAGGAGGTGGCCAAGGAGGTGGCCAAGGAGGTGGCCAAGGAGGTGGCCAAGGAGGTGGCCAAGGAGGTGGCCAAGGAGGTGGCCAAGGAGGTGGCCAAGGAGGTGGCCAAGGAGGTGGCCAAGGAGGTGGCCAAGGAGGTGGCCAAGGAGGTGGCCAAGGAGGTGGCCAAGGAGGTGGCCAAGGAGGTGGCCAAGGAGGTGGCCAAGGAGGTGGCCAAGGAGGTGGCCAAGGAGGTGGCCAAGGAGGTGGCCAAGGAGGTGGCCAAGGAGGTGGCCAAGGAGGTGGCCAAGGAGGTGGCCAAGGAGGTGGCCAAGGAGGTGGCCAAGGAGGTGGCCAAGGAGGTGGCCAAGGAGGTGGCCAAGGAGGTGGCCAAGGAGGTGGCCAAGGAGGTGGCCAAGGAGGTGGCCAAGGAGGTGGCCAAGGAGGTGGCCAAGGAGGTGGCCAAGGAGGTGGCCAAGGAGGTGGCCAAGGAGGTGGCCAAGGAGGTGGCCAAGGAGGTGGCCAAGGAGGTGGCCCAAGGAGGTGGCCAAGGAAGGTGGCCAAGGAGGTGGCCAAGGAGGTGGCCAAGGAGGTGGCCCTAAGGAGGTGGCCAAGGAGGTGGCCAAGGAGGTGGCCAAGGAGGTGGCCAAGGAGGTGGCCAAGGAGGTGGCCAAGGAGGTGGCCAAGGAGGTGGCCAAGGAGGTGGCCAAGGAGGTGGCCAAGGAGGTGGCCAAGGAGGTGGCCAAGGAGGTGGCCAAGGAGGTGGCCAAGGAGGTGGCCAAGGAGGTGGCCAAGGAGGTGGCCAAGGAGGTGGCCAAGGAGGTGGCCAAGGAGGTGGCCAAGGAGGTGGCCAAGGAGGTGGCCAAGGAGGTGGCCAAGGAGGTGGCCAAGGAGGTGGCCAAGGAGGTGGCCAAGGAGGTGGCCAAGGAGGTGGCCAAGGAGGTGGCCAAGGAGGTGGCCAAGGAGGTGGCCAAGGAGGTGGCCAAGGAGGTGGCCAAGGAGGTGGCCAAGGAGGTGGCCAAGGAGGTGGCCAAGGAGGTGGCCAAGGAGGTGGCCAAGGAGGTGGCCAAGGAGGTGGCCAAGGAGGTGGCCAAGGAGGTGGCCAAGGAGGTGGCCAAGGAGGTGGCCAAGGAGGTGGCCAAGGAGGTGGCCAAGGAGGTGGCCAAGGAGGTGGCCAAGGAGGTGGCCAAGGAGGTGGCCAAGGAGGTGGCCAAGGAGGTGGCCAAGGAGGTGGCCAAGGAGGTGGCCAAGGAGGTGGCCAAGGAGGTGGCCAAGGAGGTGGCCAAGGAGGTGGCCAAGGAGGTGGCCAAGGAGGTGGCCAAGGAGGTGGCCAAGGAGGTGGCCAAGGAGGTGGCCAAGGAGGTGGCCAAGGAGGTGGCCAAGGAGGTGGCCAAGGAGGTGGCCAAGGAGGTGGCCAAGGAGGTGGCCAAGGAGGTGGCCAAGGAGGTGGCCAAGGAGGTGGCCAAGGAGGTGGCCAAGGAGGTGGCCAAGGAGGTGGCCAAGGAGGTGGCCAAGGAGGTGGCCAAGGAGGTGGCCAAGGAGGTGGCCAAGGAGGTGGCCAAGGAGGTGGCCAAGGAGGTGGCCAAGGAGGTGGCCAAGGAGGTGGCCAAGGAGGTGGCCAAGGAGGTGGCCAAGGAGGTGGCCAAGGAGGTGGCCAAGGAGGTGGCCAAGGAGGTGGCCAAGGAGGTGGCCAAGGAGGTGGCCAAGGAGGTGGCCAAGGAGGTGGCCAAGGAGGTGGCCAAGGAGGTGGCCAAGGAGGGTGGCCAAGGAGGTGGCCAAGGAGGGTGGCCAAGGATGGTGGCCAAGGAGGTGGCCAAGGAGGTGGCCAAGGAGGTGGCCAAGGAGGTGGCCAAGGAGGTGGCCAAGGAGGTGGCCAAGGAGGTGGCCCAGGAGGTGGCCAAGGAGGTGGCCAAGGAGGTGGCCAAGGAGGTGGCCAAGGAGGTGGCCAAGGAGGTGGCCAAGGAGGTGGCCAAGGAGGTGGCCAAGGAGGTGGCCAAGGAGGTGGCCAAGGAGGTGGCCAAGGAGGTGGCCAAGGAGGTGGCCAAGGAGGTGGCCAAGGAGGTGGCCAAGGAGGTGGCCAAGGAGGTGGCCAAGGAGGTGGCCAAGGAGGTGGCCAAGGAGGTGGCCAAGGAGGTGGCCAAGGAGGTGGCCAAGGAGGTGGCCAAGGAGGTGGCCAAGGAGGTGGCCAAGGAGGTGGCCAAGGAGGTGGCCAAGGAGGTGGTCCGCATGCTCACCTTCCTCCTAGACCCACGCCACGACATCTCCTCTCCTCCGCCTTTGACCCCATCGCTCTCGGCATCGCCCTCTCTCTCCACCAGGACGACAGCACTCGGGTGTCCCACTTCCCCTCCTCGCACTCCACGCCGCACGGGCACCCTCACTCGCTCTCGCACACGCGCAGCGCGAGTCTGTCGTCCGATGTGCTGTCTGCTGCGGTTAGTTCCCTCTCCACCACCCCAGAGAGCAGCTTCAACAGCAACCCTGGCAGCAGCAGCAGCATCAGCAGCCCTGGCGTCGGCAGCAGCAGCAGCAGCTTCGCCAGGAGCAGCAGCGGCGCTGGGGCTGGTGCAGGCGGTGTGTTGCCGCAGCTGTCCCGCACTTTGAGTAGCGGCGGAGTGGCAGGGCTGTCCACTGCTGCTGCTCTGGCTGTCGCTGCTGCTGCAGGCGCTGTGGGTGCAGCAGGAGGGGCAGTGGGAGCAGCCGCAGCAGACCTCGCAACAGGAGGAGCAACAGCAGCAGGAGGAGGAGGAGGAGGAGGAGGAGGAGGAGGAGGAGGAGGAGGAGGAGGAGGAGGAGGAGGAGGAGGAGGAGGAGGAGGAGGAGGAGGAGGAGGAGGAGGAGGAGGAGGAGGAGGAGGAGGAGCAGGAGGAGGAGGAGCAGGAGGAGGAGGAGCAGGAGTAGGGGCAGGGGAAGGGGAAGGGCCGGGGTCGACACAGTTCCTAGCGGCCAAGGCAGCAGCACTGGGTGCAGTAGCTCAGGAGCTGCAAATTGCACCCATCCGTCTCGCACTCGACACCAGCACACCCTTCCCCACCGAAACCTCCCCCATCACTATGGCACGTGCACTTGTCCCTTTCCTCTTAGCCCTCCCCGAGCCTATTATTCCGCCGAGTGTGGGAGAGGAGGTGGCGTGTAGGGAGGGGTGGGCGCGGGGGGCTGCAGCTACGCTGCTGGCGGAGCGGTTGGGTGCGGTGCAGCTGGGTGTGGTGGACTCGCTGCTGGCGCTCATCCAAGCTCTGCTGCGGAACCGCATTGCGAATCGACTCGCCATTCATGAGCTGGGTATGGTGTACAGTGTACGGTGTTCTTTCACTTGTGTTGCTTAAATGTCGGGATGAATGTTAGAAGTGTTTCCCATTCCGCTTCTTTGTTTCTGATGCACTTCTGTACCTTTCTGTTTTGTTCGAATGTCGGTTCAAAATCACTTCGTATGTACCCGTGGGCTGGTCGCAGCTGCCATCATGCCCTACTGCCTGCCTCTTAAGTCCCATGCCAGTGTTCACAATTTTTTAGGCGTTTTGAAACTCTTTCCGTGTTCTTGCCTCTCCCTGTGTGCTGGGTTGGTGTTGGTCGCAGCTGCCATACTGGCCTACTGCCTCTTCGGTCCTGTGCCGGTGTTCACAAAGTTTTGAGGCGTCTCAAATCGTATCTGTTTTTGTGTCTTGCCTCTCCCTGTGTGTTGCGTTTAAGTTGGTTTCAGCTTCCATTTGGCATACTGCCTATTCGGTCCCAGATTTGGGCATCTCAATCCAAAAATGTTTTCTTGTTTTTGCCTCTCCCTGTGTGTTGGGTTGGTCGCAGCTGCCATACTGGCCTACTGCCTGTTCGGCCCCGTGCCAGCATTCACAAATGATGAAATGGGCATTGCAACTGCGACGGATGCTGTGAGGATTGTGAAGCGCCGGAGAAGATTCATGCGCCTGCTGATTGAAGATACTCGTCTCCGTTCCAGGTGATTCTATTCAGGATACGGCAGATGTGGTTTCACTTTTGATACAATGCATTCAACAAGCCCTTTGGTTACGGCATGTGACATACGGTAGCATGATTACCTCTTGCTAGCTGGGCACTCCTTATTTAACATATGCTGCAGTTTGTGCATTGTGCTTGCATGTTGCCGTCATCGCTCGGATATAAGACATACGGTATGTCTTATCTTATACATTAGAAAAAAAGCTTGATGTGTCTTGTATTTGGGACGGTTTAGGGTGTTTTATATTTCTTTTTAATGGACAAAGAACTGTTTAGAAGATACCCCCTCGTCATAAGATTACCCCTAACCCCTACACTCGCTTATCTCGTACACACCGACCCGACAGGTGTCTTATAATCAGGAACACCCATTTATAAGATACACCCGTTTTAAAGACACCCCCTATCTTCAATTCGACATTGTCTTATATCCGGGCGATGACGGTAGTAGTTGGTCAACTTAGGTACACGGAGGTAAGTGTTGAAATGTATTTGTATACATTCATATACATACATACAGTAGATCCTAGTGTAGTTATATACTACTTGTGTTGGTGGTGCACCTTCCCCCTTTCTCCTATATGTTTCTGTTTTCCTATAAGGAAACGCTCTCTTTGGCCAATTTATTCCTCGGGATACCATCGCCATGCTCCAAGCTCATAATTCCTACTTCCTAAGCTAGCTCCTAATCTCAACATGCTATCAGAGCAGATCCGTTCTTAAGGACCTAACTAATTTTATTTCGCCATGGCTGCCCTCGTTGCCATGGCGGCCGTTGCAGCGCCCTTCGAGGCGCTCGCCCGTTGCCTGCCCCGCACAGCTCGCCCTGCGCTACCCGCCCCACGCGCTGGTCGCCCCTGTCATATGTTATAGTCTTAGTGATGTGTGTCATATGGGGTACAACATTTAGGGTTAGGTTTAAGTACCCCAACCAGCCTTAATGAAATCATCATTCTGTTATTGACATGGTATCACCTAGGTTAGGATCCTGTGGGATCCCGTTCCTCTCGTCCACGTCCGTAGCGCCCGAGCCTGTTCCGTACCCTAGTGCCCGTTACGCCCGTACTGTCCCCTAGCGCCTATCGCGCTCGTCTCTCTCGTGCCCTAGCGCTCGCTGCGCCTGCCGTCGCGTCGCCCCTGCTGTCCCGTCCCGTCGCGTTGCCCCTGCTGCCCCGTCGCCCCTGCTGTCCCGTCGCGTCGCCCCTACTGTCCCGTCGCGTCGCGCCGTCCCGTCGCGTCGCGCTGTCCGTCCCGTCCCGTCCCGCCGTGTCGCGCTGTCCATCCACGTCGCGCTGCCCGTCCCGTCCCGCAGCGTCACGCCTGCCCGTCTTGTCCGGTCACGTCGCGCTGCCCGTCCCATCATGTCGCGCTACCCCTGCCCGCAGCGCCGCGCCCTTTTAGTCCCGCCGTGTCGCGCCCTACCCTGCGTCCCGTCGTGCCCTAGGCCTCCAACTATGCCAGTCACGCCCTACTAAGCCGCTCTAAGTGTTTATGGTTTCGGCAGCAGCACTTCCCTCCTCTTTGCTTCCGCTATGGCGACCCCTAGGGTCTTGCGCTTTGACGACGAGGGTAGGCCGCTCGAGTTCTCGGTCTGGCTCCTGCGTGCGCGCCGCCTTTTAGAGAGTCAGGTTCAGGCAGGTGAGTCTCTGTGCGCGCACGCTTCCGGCGACCTTCCTAACCTCGACGACCCTGCACCCTAGGCGCTGACCCAAGCAGTGCAGACAGGTTCGCACGGCTAGTGAGTTCCTGACTGTGATCAAAGCCCGCTACGCAACACCCACCATTGTCTCTCTTGGTCTCCTGTTCCTCCCGTTCCTGTTTCCTGACCTCGCCTCGTTTGAGCGCTCTGCCGACTTGATCGCTCACCTGCGCTCGCTCGATTCTAGCTACCGTGCTGCCTGCACTGACGCATAGCTTGCACTGCTTGCATTGCTATGGCGATTACTATCTATTTCATCGCCGCTAGCCTCCTTGACCACCTTGCCTTGGTTCGTGACGCGCTTCTTCTAAAGCACCCTAGCGAGCTCACTATCGAGGTCCTTGAGTCTGCCCTCAAGGACGTCGAGAGCAACCTCCGATCGGTAACCTCCGCCTCTGGTGCTGTGCCCCCTCCACTGTTTCACGGGTGCACAGTTCCTCAGCTGCCCACCTTTACTGCCTCCCTCGCCACTGCCGCTACTGACGTGACCGCAGCTGCTGTTACGGATTCATCGCGACCAAGTTCATCTCATAGAACCCGTCACTGAAGTAGCCATCGGCATACTTCTCCCACTCAGGACCAAACACAGTCACCTTTCCACTGTCATAAAATATCTTGCACCCCAAGTCATCAAGCTGTGACCGACTGACCAAATTCACCTTTAAATCCTCAACCAGCAGCACACTCTCCAGTTTCACCTCTCCATACGGACTCTGCAGCACCACGTCACCCTCTCCTGTCACTGGTAACTTCCCACTGTTACCTTGCAGTATATAATCCTCACTCGACTCCCTCACATTCTCCATCCAATCCGACCTGAACGTCATGTGACGCGTGCATCCGCTGTCCATGAGCCATGCCGTCTTCTCACTTCCATCCGACTGACAAACCTCCTTCGGTAAACGCACCACGTTCGCACGATGCGCTCCTCGAAGGATCACATCATCCTCGTTCGCTTCTGCTACATTCGCCTTTGCCGCCACATTCCTCTGCTGCGACGGACCCTTGTAGCTCCTGCTGTTCGGATTGGAGTAGCACTCTGCGGCACGATGTCCATAGCGCCCACAATAGTCGCACTTGCCGCCAAAACCTCGTTTCTGCTGCCACTCCGCTCCCCTGTTTTCTCCATTTTTGTTCTCCACCGCTTTGCCCTTGTAGTTTCTGCTTCGCGGGTTTTCGTAGCAGTTTATCGCCTTATGCCCCCTCTTTCCACACTGGTAGCACGCTCCAAACGCCTTCGTTGCATTCACCAAAGCCGGCCTCTCCTCGTCGAATTCCGCTGCTGCTGCCGCTTTCTTTTTCCTCATCTCCTTCACCGTCTCAAGCGATTGCAGAATCTCCTGCAGCTTCGTCAAACTCTCCGGCGGTTGGTACGTAAACATACCGATGTCGGATTCCCACTCCTTAGGAAGGCCTTGGATGATATAGTCAATCATCTCGTGCTCCGTCTCCGCGGCTCCCATCACCCGCAAGTCGTCGTTGTAGTTTTTCGCCCTGTTGATGTAGGTGATGATTTTCTCGCCTTTCTCCATGCTCAGCATCAGCAGTTGCTTCCTAATCGCCTTCTTGTTGACATCGTTCGTACCCATGTACGTGGACTCCAGGTACTCCCACGCTCGCTGTGCAGAGTTCAGCTCCCCTGCAAACTGGTCCAAATCCACCGCGATTCCATCGGCAACTGAGTGACAAAGCTGAAAGAACGCTTGCTTACTTTGTTTTTTGAACGCCGCTATTTTCTCCTTCGTATCCGTCGGGGATGGCGCAACTCCCTCCATCGTCTCCTCGTCGGGACGGTAGTACGGCAAGAGGTCAACTTCCTCTGCCCTCCGAATAAACTTCTTCCGCCACGCGTTGTAGTTGCTTCCTGGGCTTCACTGAGCCCGATCGTCGGTTTCGCCACCCATCGGCCACTCGCAAGGGCCTCGAGAAGAGCCTTCAACTGCGGGTCTCCAAGACTCACACTGGAACCCGAACTCGCCTCGTCTCCCATGGCGTAGGCGTGAACGACTCCTCTTCTCCATTAATTTCACTTAGCGCACCAAGTGAATTCACCGCGATCGACGAGCCCGTTCGCCAAGCTCTGATACCAGTTCTTAGGATCGTAAACACCTTAGTCGGCAATAGTCTACTTGCTATTGCTTATCGTGTTCTCCACGATCTCACGAATCCAATGATATGCGCAGCTCTGCTTGAAGTTGTCAATACACACTTCAGCAATTTCAGAATCTCAATGTTGTCCAATGTTGTGATTTCCAGAATGAGTACAAGCAGTTTTATGGTCAGGCAAGACACAAAATGCGATTCGTAACTTCACTTGTTTCCCAAGTAACCGCGTGTGCCTCGTTTCACCCCGAGTCGCACACGGAACCGAACCGAATGCACCGAACACTTCTTGAGTCCGAATCTCGAACCTTCTCGAACGCGCCTCAAGCTCGAACCACAATTTCCCCTCGTCAACTTCATTCTCGATGCTTCTCCACTCTTCTTCCTCCATTTCTCTAGTATCGTCCCGATTTCTCTCCCGCTTCTCACGCCGTAGGCCGATATCCACCGCTTCACTCTAGAATAGTCCAAACGCTTCTTTCGTCTTCATTACGCCGTCGTAGAAGCTTTCGTCGTAGGTTCCGTGGTTGGGCGAACCAACCCTAACAGTCCCCATGAGCTTGTTGTTCGCCAGGGACCTGCCATGGCACACGTCCCCACACAGACGGTGACACGGGGTGACACGGTGAGAGGGTCAAGGGGTGGTGGTGAGAGGGACATGGGGTGGTGGTGAGAGGGACATGGGGTGGTGGTGAGAGGGACAAGGGATGGTGGTGAGTGGGACAAGGGGTAGTGGTGAGAGAGGGACGTACAGTTTGGTCATGGCAGTGAGCTTGCTGATGCTGTAGGGGATGCTGCAGCCGGCAAGGGAGTGAGTTCCGAGGTCTCTGAGAAAGGATTTGCAGAATGGCAAGATATTCTTCAGGCGCCTAAACAACGCGATGCAAGCGCTAACATCCCAAATTTGTTTTTGGGAGGGGGTGGTTTGGACAGTGGGAGTGAGTACTATGTATTTCGGGATGCACTGTGGCTACACTCGCTACTGACTCGCTACTCCCTCCAATCTCCAACTTCACACCCAGTACGCGGGATCTCCAACCTATTGAACGGAGGCGGAACGAGGGATGATGGTCAGGGGACGAGCCGATATCGCTCGAAAGTGCACTGAAGGACTCGAAGGAGGGAGAGGAGGCGGATGAGTGGGGAGTCAGGGCAGCAGGGGGGAGAGCGAGCGGCAAACAAGCTTCAAGCAGCGCCCTCACCATGCTCGCCCTCCCCGCCGCTCGCTTCCCTCCGCCCCCCTCTCCTCCCGCGACTCGTCTATGCCCGCGAGCTGATCCCCCACAAACCGCACGCGCGGGCTTTCTCCGCCAGACTTCCGCGCGCGGCACTACTATCCCCGTCCGCCGACCCCCGCACTACGCTTCCCCGGTCGCTGGAATTGACACGCTGCAGCAAATCCTTCGCACCGCGGCTGTGCTAGCGGTACCAGCGGCACCCTTCTCGCAGCCCAAATTACAGCAGTGGCAGGGCCGGCAGCGGAAAAATCTGCAGCGGCAAAGACGGGGGAGGGTGCAGCAGCGGCAACTGCGGCGGCGACTGCGGTGAACAGCGGCAGCAGTCGAGGGATGCATTTAATCCACGGGGCATTGCCGACGGGCAGTCATGGGAAGACCGCCGCAAGCTACGACAGCAACATGTGTGTTTTGACGTTGTTTTGTTTGCGCCTCTGAACTTCGCTCGATTTCCTACCCCTTCCGTTATCACTGCGCTCCTCCCCCCTTCCCCCTCCTTCCCCTCCGGCTGTTATGATCATCCTAGTTTTTCTCTTACCTCGCTGACTTTCCCGTTCTCCGCGTCCCCCGTGCGCCTCTCTCCCCTTTCCCGCCGCTCCCCCTCCCCCGCTCGGCGGAGAGCCACACTCTCGACCACCGCCTGCTCGACGCGATTCACGGCAGCGAGGGTGGCTATAACGTGGACGGCGCGGATTCGTTCTACGCGCGCATGGCAGAGCAGGACGCGGAAGCTCCGCGGATGGGGGAGAGCGGCGGGCGTCTAGGGTTTAGGGGGACGTCTCGAGCCTCATTGAGGTGAGGGGGAAAGGGGACAGGGAGAAGAGGGGAAGTCGGAATGGGGATGGGGATGGCCAGTGAAATGCTCAACTCATCCGCCCCCATCCCCTTTTATTTCCGCCCTTTCCGCTTTGCGCCCCTCCCCTAGTCCCTCAGCGCCTGCACCTCCGCGGACGAGTGCCAGCTGTTCGCTGATGTCATCGTCGCCCTGGAAACCGCCAAGAAGGAAGCCTCTTCCTCAAATGCTGTCGGCGCCAGCAGCAGCAGCACCACCAGCGGCAGCAGCAATACCGCCGCCAGCAGCAGCAGCGGCAGGAATGGCAATATGGAGCAGTCATGCCCTTGCTTCGGGCCAAGGGGTACGATGCTGCAGTGTGCAAGGCGCGGTGGGAGCACTCCAAGTGCCTCCCTGTCAGTTGTGACGGTTGTGCTCTGACCAGCTCTTACCCTAACATGTTGGCATGTGTTGTTGTTGTTTTTTTTTTTTTGGCATGTGTTGCTGTTTTTGTGATGCAGGCCAAATACCCCAGCGTGCCCGGTGCTGAGGGCGAGGAGGAGGAGGAGGATGAGGACCGTGTGATGTTGTGCGTGCTTTTGTACAATGATGCCTCTCTGTTTTGTGGCCTAACTTAATAAATCCGCTATTATAAAATCACCATGCAAACAGCAAGATTTTATGCAGATAATTTGGATATATAGGCTTGTTATGCTATATTGTTACACGTGTTACCCTGTAATTGCGTTAGGTGTAGCTACACTGTATGTAGCAAGTATCTGCTATATTCTGGGATTGGCACTACCGACATTCTCTGTACTGCAGCGCCAGCTGATGTCGAGGGATCGAGTTGCGACACAGTAATCACTGTGTGGGGACTCCCAACCCCCGCGGAGTACCAGCAGGGTTGGTACATTGAAACTACTGCACGCTGCGGTGAGTAGTAGTTACACTGTATCAGCATATGTTCGTACATACTCCACAGGAGTGAAGTCGCGACTTAGTAAGTACACACCACTTTTATAGTACATAGTATGCAGGCACACGTTTACTACTTTGGGATGAATGCCATGTCATCCAGTCATGCCATACGAAGCCATCCTGATTCATGGAACCGCAGCAGGCCCAGTGAGGCGATCGTTCAATGATGGGTTGGTGGGTAACTTTCAGGATAGCGTTATTGTTACAGTGTTTTGGAAACGAAAAGCATGTTGTAGCGTGGATGTCACATGCAATGGGCCTATGAGGCTTCACCGCACAAGCAGAGGTTTTAAAATATAGATGGATGTCAGCATGATCAACGCGTTGGGCTCACTCACAGCGAGTTGACCATGCCGAGGTTGTTGCAGAGAACGCCTGTCACGGAGCAGTAGGACGGGCTGAAGGCGTCTGTCAGGCAGCACGGTATGAATTCCTCAATCACCTTCGCTGCGCACGCACCCGCAATAAAATACAGAGTTCATTCGTGGCTCACTCACAGCCCCCAGCATGCTCTTGGTAGCCCCCGGCCTCAGGGCTTCCTCGAGATTAGGATGCAATAATTGGGCAGGAATTCGAGTTACTACTCGGAGTGCAAGAGCGAAATGGTAAGGGAGGAGAGAGAGAGAGAGAGAGAGAGAGAGAGAGAGAGAGAGAGAGAGAGAGAGAGAGACAGAGAGAGAGAGAGAGAGAGAGAGAGAGAGAGAGGGAGGGAGAGGGAGAGAGAGAGAGAGAGAGAGAGAGAGAGAGAGAGAGAGAGGGAGGGAGGGAGAAGGAGAGAGAGAGAGAGAGAGAGAGAGAGAGAGAGAGAGAGAGAGAGAGGAGGGAGGAGAGGAGAGAGAGAGAGAGAGAGAGAGAGAGAGAGAGAGAGAGAGAGAGAGAGAGAGAGAGAGAGAGAGAGAGAGAGAGCGAGAGGGGGGGGGGGGGGGGGGGGGAGAGAGGAAGGGGGAAGTCAATACCTTTCTTAAAATGGACTACGACTGCTGTGCGGTTTGGACGTGCATCGCGAAAAAGGGCAGTTCGAAAAGAAACGTAAAAGTTACTCTGCTGCAACTTTCAAGATTTTTTTTTACGCCAGGTAAAAGTCAAGGTTCTAAATCTGCATACCGAACGTGACTTGCAAAGCAACTTTCCCGTCACTCTTCCTTCACTAACTGTACACATTGACTCAACTGACCAAGTATACAGTAAAGCAACTTTCCCGTCAATTTAGAGCAACCTGTGCGAAATGTCATAATATATTTCTGTATAACTGCATGTAGTTCTAGCTGTAGTGTATTTCTATTGCTGTCCTGTTAGGTGGTGCACCCTTTGGCTTGCTATAACTTGTAACTCTTTTCATAGTGAACATCATTCTCGTTTCTCCTTTGGTCAACACCCTCGAACTTCTTCTTGCTACTCTCGTCCTAGCTAAACCCTAGGCTACTAAGCCTACTAAGTTAAGCACCTATTTCAACATGTTATCAGAGCAGGCTCGTTCCTAGAGCCTTCATTCTTGGGCCCACTGTAAGCTTCCGCTAATGCGCCTCCTTGCTGCCCGTCGCGCGCCCGTGGCGTGCGTCAGTTTTCTGCCCGTCGCGTGCCCGTGGCGCGCGTCGGTTTCTGCACGTCGCACGCCCCGGGCGTGTGGCGGTTTCTGCCCGTCGCATGCCCCGGGCGTGTGGCGGTTTCTGCCCGTCGCACGCCCCGAGCGCGTGGCGGTTTCTGCCCGTCGCACGCCCCGGGCGTTCGTCGGTTTCTGCCCGTCGCACGCCCCGGGCGTGCGTCGGTTTCTGCCCGTCGCGCGCCCCCAGCACGCGACGGTGTTCTGCCCGTCGCTCGCCCCCAGCGTGCGACGGTTTTCTGCCCGTCGCGCGGGGGCCCCGCTGCCCTGCTTCCCGTCGTCCCCGCCGCCCGCTTCCTCCTCCCTCTCCTGCTACGCGTGCAGCAGTTTGGGGGGGGGGGGGGGGGGGAGGGTGTTGGGGGGACGCAGGAGTGGCGGTGGGGGGTGGTTGCACCTCCAGCGCCTCGCTGCTCTGCTTCGTCACCAAGCCAGCAGCCCCCCCCCCCCCTCCGCCTCTCCTTTCCCCCCCTGCTGCTCCTACTGCAGCGGCGGTTTCTGCCCGGCGCCTCGTGCGCCTCTGCCCGGCGCCTCTTGCGCCCTGCCCGCCCGCGCCCGCCCCACCAGATCGCACACCTCGCCCCCCCCCTCCCTTCTATTCCCTCTCCCTACTGCGTGTGCAGCAGTTAGGGGGGAGGGGGAGGGGGTGTAAGGGGGAGGTGCCACCAACAGCACCACCCTCCTCTTCTCTCTTTCACGGCCGTACCTGCTGCTGTGGGGGGGAGGGTGGAGTGGTGGGAGTGACGGGAGGAGCTACTGCCGCTGCCGCTCGCCTTCCCCTCTCTCTCCCTGCTGCGCGTGCAACAGTGGGGGGGGGGGGGGTTTGGGGTGGCGGGTGTGAGCACCCAGCTGCCGCCGCTCCTCCTCTCTCTCTCACTGCCGCACGTGCCGCTGTGGGGGGGAGGGTGAGGGGGTGGCGGGTTTCTGGCCGCCGTGTGAAGGCTTGAGCAGGGACCACCGTGGGTGGGGAAGGCTTTGGAGGAAGGGTGGGGGGAAGGCGTGAGGTTCCAGGGGGCGGTTGACAAGGGGGGTGAGGTTGAGGGGGGGTGGCTGAAAGGGGGCGTGGAATTAGGGGGTTAGTAAGAGGGGCTCGCCGCACTAGGCTCCCCCCCACCTCCTCTCCTCCCTCTCTCACCCCCCCCCCCCCCCCCCTTTGTAAAACGGGGGTTCGTAAGAGGGGTTCGCCGCGTGGCTTCCCCCACCTCCTCTCCTCATCCCTCTCTCACCCCCCCCCTTTGTAAAACGGGGGTTCGTAAGAGGGGCTCGCCGCGTGGCTCCCCCCACCTCCTCTCCTCATTCCTCTCCTCTCCCCTCTCTCTCTCTCGTCTCCTCCTCCTCGCATTCCTCTCTGTTGTCTTCCGCTGCGCAGGGTGTACCCCTTCAGGGGGTGTTATGCACATGGCTATTCCTGCATGCAGTTAGGGGGTGTGTCATAATATATTTCTGTATAACTGCATGTAGTTCTAGCTGTAGTGTAGTTCTATTGCTGTCCTGTTAGGTGGTGCACCCTTTGGCTTGCTATAACTTGTAACTCTTTTCGTAGTGAACATCATTCTCGTTTCTCCTTTGGTCAACACCCTCGAACTTCTTCTCGCTACTCTCGTCCTAGCTAAACCCTAGGCTACTAAGCCTACCTATTTTCAACACGAAAGTGTCTCGACAACGCCACGTGGCGTACGACGTACTCGAGATGAAACTCCAACGTGCTGACGTGGCGGTTACCGTACTCTAACGTAAACCGTCGGATGCGAATCTGATTGACGCACGTGATCCTGCCATGTGGACCAATCAGATCCTGACATTGGTGCACAGTAACATCGTACGATTGGCTAGTAATTACTGCAAAATCCCTGCGACGAATCTGATTGACGTGGCAATACCGAAGGTACACTTTTATGTATATCCTCATTCTTCATATAGTTTTCACAACGCATACACTCACTTGGTTTCTACACCTACGCCTAACTTGTAATGCACTGCTAAGTGTCTATACCTGCTTCTCTGCCCAACCTTACGACAATCACTACGCATATACACAGCTAACAAGCTGCAACCTCTGCAGAGTTAGCCAACTAAAAGAAAAACATGGTGAACAAGCGAGAAATTACAACTTTCCGCCACTCACCATTCGCCTGTGGGATGCTGATGCTAGTGCAGTCAATGTAAATGAGCACTCACCATTCGTAATGCTGGAGTACGATTTAATGGTGAAAAATAAACATATTGCGTTTCTGGTAGACGATAAGCCTGCAAAAACAGGTACGCCCTGCAACACATGCACACACAGCATACTGTCATGCATCCCGCGTACATTGCTTTAGAGGGGTTAGTTAAAGCATGTACTTAGTTTTAGGCATAGTCAATCGCGGCGGTACTATCGACGATGGTTACGCACACGACGATGCTGTTGCGACAGCCATATTCGCGATCGTAAAAATGGCCAGACTATGTTGGAAACCGGACATTCACATGATTAGTTGCAAACACAGAACAAATTGCCAAAAACAGAATACATCGCGACAATAGTAGCTACGCACAAAACGAAGCTCGGAATCGATACATTGAGATTGAGTAACAACATCACGAAACTTGCTAGTTAAAAGTGAACGAAATCAACAAAATAGGCAGCTTGAAACAACATACACTAATCACACCTGGGATGCTGCACGACGATTTCCGGGCTCTGCGTGAACGACGCCCACCCAAGCAGCCAGCGCAGCTGCTGCAGCGCGATGGTGATGTTGGAAAATTTCCGTCAATACCTGGTGGCGCAATAGGGGAAAAAA